GAACCCTCACCTTTTATTTGCTGATGCTCGCTAATTTTTTCTTTGACTTCTCGCTGTTGTTTATCATTTTGTTCGGCGTTTTTATTTAATATTTCTCTGATTCTTTTTTTCTCTATTTCTTGGGTTTTCTCTCCCCCTTCCTTCTCTATTTCCTTGATAGTTTGCTCGGTCAGAGTTTTTTCTTTACTAACGAGAGCATGGCGTAAATTAACCCCAATGTTAAAATTAATCAGAGCAGTAATTACCGCTAAAAGAGAACAAGCCAAGAATAATTTACGATTATTTTTGACAACCCGGCGGAATACCAAGGCAAGTACTTTTAGTTTATTTTTTTTTTTAGTTTGGAGAACTGGTTTAGTAAATACCGTGGCAGTAGGCATCTGTGAATTATTTTTATATTAATATTATTTTGCTGTTTTTTTTTTTTTTTTTTTTGGTGCCAGTGATGAATAAAAAGTCATTGACCTATAAAATATTATAATAAATAGTAAAATTGAAAAATGGCGAAAGAAATAATCACAATTAAACAAATTAATAAAAGATATGGTAATAAAACGGTTTTAAATAATGTTTCTTTTACTGTTCGTGAAGGAACTATTCATGGTTTTATTGGACCCAATGGAGCCGGTAAAACTACCACTTTAAGTATCTTAACTAGATTGGTCTTACCCACTGGTGGTGAGGTTTATATTGACGGCAAATCAGTAATTAATGACCCGACTTTTAACGAACGGCTGGGATTTATTCCGGCGGAACCGCGATTTCCCAGTTCAAAAGTGGAAGAATATGTGCTAGATTGTGGCTATTTACGGGATATTCCCAAAGGGGAAGTTTTAAGGAAATTAGCCAGTTCACCACTCAACCAATTTCGTAATCAGAATTGTCATTCTCTTTCGACCGGGTGGAAAAAAATCCTCCAGGTTTTTATTTTAGGATTATACCGACCGCGTATCCTTTTATTGGATGAGCCCTTTAATGGTTTAGACCCCAGTTTCCGTCAGGACTTATTTAACAATTTAAAGTCTATTCGCGCGGACGGGGCAACTATTTTAATGTCAACTCATATTCTATCCGATTTACAAAAATTAGCTGATGACATTACCATGATTAAAAACGGCAAAATAGTTTATACGGGAGCCAAAACCGCCGATATCGAGCAAACTTACGAAGATTACTTTATCGAAAAAGGCAAAGGATTATTTGAATTATAAAAAATTATGGCACAAACTAGTAAATTATATAAATACTATCTGAAAAAAATATTTAAAAAAAATTGATTACGAATTACTTTTATTACTCTGTTGGTAGGAGCAGTTTGATTTGCTTTTCCTTACCTTGTTTTCAAAATGACTAAAAGCTCGGAATTGAAAAATACAGAAAAAAGACAAGAGGCAGAGGGTATTGACGAGGAACGAAAACAGAGATTAAAAGAGCGGGCAAAAAAAATAAAAGAAGAGTGAACTTTTCGGAACTTTAATCGGGAGACTCTCGAAATTTTTGAACCGTTAAAAGATTTTAATCGGGAGGAATTGGGGAAGAATATCGAAAAGTTAAAGGAATTAAAAAAAGCCGACGGTAATAACGAAGAAGAGTTAGAGAAATTAAAGGAAAAAATAAATTTGCGGGAAATGTTCGATAAAGGTAAATTTAAAGGTTTTAATATCGGGCACTACAATGCTGATATTTCTTTCTTTTTTTGCCAAAATACGGAACACGGGAGTGGGCTAAAATTTTGAAAACTACTGAACGATATTTCCTGGTGAAATCTCACTGGCTTTATCGCCTTGTTTTGACTAATTTTTAATGTCGTTGATAACACGTTTTTTGCCCCGCAACAAGACGGCGAGGAGGCCACCATTTTGACTTTAACTCCCGGCGTAAAAAGAAGCGATTTACTTTTTGGCAAGACTTTGGCTTTTCTAACTTTTTATTGTCTGGCCAATGTTTTACTGTTCCTCTTGCCGTTCAGTTTTTATTATTTTTGAATTGGAACAAATAAGTCTTTTAGTTGGTTTACTTTATTGACTTTCTGAACGACAATTATCGGACCGATTTTGTTTTTCTGCTTAATTGTGGCTCCTTATATTTGGGCTAAATCGTGAGTGCGTTGACTCGGGTGAATTATCTCGTCTTTGGTAAGTTTTTTTCCTATAATATGAGAAATAGGAAAAAGTTTTGCTTATCCTTATGCTACTTGACCTTACGCAGTCGAAAAGCACTTTTTTAACCCGTTAGTATTTGTGCCGGTCTCCTTAATTTGTGGACTGCTTTTCCTAACCCTTTATTATTGACACTACCAAAAAGAAGATTTGGGATAATTAATAACTTACTAATTCTTTCCCCACTGGGTAATACTATTAGAAATATTTTATATGGCAACTACTAAACTTAATAAATCAGTATTTTCGAAACTCTACCGCTATTATTGTAAAAAATTAGCGGGAAGTTTATGATTATTACCATTCTATATTCTGCCTTTTATTTTTATTATTTGGGGCAATAGTAATATTTTAGGATTAGAAAAACTGGGGGATAAGGATTGAAAAGAAATAGTGCGGACATTTTGACTAATTTCTTTTTATCAATTATTTTTTATGATGATGTATTTTGGCAACTCAGTCGGTCAATTACTAGGAATGAGAAATAAATGGGGAGGGAGGAAAATGAGTTTTAAACAAAAAAAAGAAGATGATATTAAGGTATTAAGTTTTACTCCGAGCGTTAATCGTGAAACAGTAATGTTTGCCAAAATTGCCACCGCTTCCACTTATTACTTGGCTATTAATCTCCTGTTGTTAACTTTGCCAGCCCTTATTTATTTAGCAATTACGACCAATCTTTCCTTTTTAGCTCTTGGTTCTTTTTCATTACTTAATGGCTTAGCTTTTGCCGTGGTAAATTATTTATTGTTAGTTCCTTTCTTGTTCTATTTTTACGAAAATTACTCACTGATAACAATGTTAATTTACTTCGTTTTTATCATAATTTTTATTACGCCCGTTATTTTTTTTCATAAAACTTTTTCTCAGCACCCTCTTCTCTTGCTACTTCTGTCAGTTCCTTTATCGCTATTAATCGGTGCAATTTTTTTCTATCTTTACTGAAAGAGTTATTTACGAAAAGATTTGATTTAAAAAGCAAAGACAAATGGAGCGAACAAAAAAAAAGGCACTTGCCAGTGGCGAATTGCCAATTGATAATAATTCCCAAGAATTAGTTTATTTAGCCAAAGATAATTTTTGAACGGAAAATTTCCCAACCACCGCCTCCTCTAATTTTTTGACTAATTTTCAACCCGACCAAAATGCCTCAGTGATTAAGCGGCTCGCTAGCAAAAAAAATAAATTGCTCGGTAAAACTGTTTTGGATGAATTGGCTTGTGGCGGCACGGGATTATATGCTAATACTGGACCACTTTTTAATCCTTATAATTCTTCCTATATCGTGGGAGGGTCGTCCTCCGGTTCGGCCTGAGTAGTAGCCAAAAAATTAGTTCCGCTGGCATTGGGTCATGACACCGGCGATTCGATTCGTCGTCCGGCTTCCTATTGTGGAATAGTTGGCTTTAAACCTTCTTATGGCTTAATTTCGCGGGCGGGAGTTATTCCCATGGCTTCCTCGTTAGATACCATTGGCATTTTGGGTCGACAAGTAAAGGATATTAAACTGGCTTTTTCTACCATCGCTCACCCCGACTCGGCGGATTTAACCACTTGCTCCTATAAATCCCCTATTTCTCCTTGTCGCTGGAAAAAAAACATTGCCGTTATCAAGGATTTAGAAAATTATTTACCACCTGAATTAACAACCTTATATCATAATAGTCTAAAATCATTAGTAAAGTCCGGCTACCAAATTGAAAGGATAACCATACCGAAAAAACTCCGGGATAACTTACAAATTACTTATCTTATTCTCTGTTCGACCGAATTAGTTAGTCATCTCAATTCGCTCCAAGGAATAACTTATGGCATCCAAGAAAATATTAATATCACCCAAAAAAGAAGCCGATATTTAGGAACTATAGTGAAACAACGCTTATTAATTGGGGCTTATTTTCTGGAAAATAAAGAATTATTAGAAAAAGCTCGAAAAATGCGTTATTTAGTTAACCAATGAGTAAAAAAAGTTTTAAGTAATTATGATTTTTTAATTTTTTCCAGCACTAACCACACGGCTCCGCCCGTTACTAATTTTCACCACTCCTTTTCTGGTCTAATTTCTTCCCATTGAAGCGATAATTTATTATTGGTGGCTAATTTTGCCGGCTTGCCTAGTTGTAGTTTACCAATTGGTTTTATTAATGAACTGCCAGTAAGTATTAATATTAATAGTAATTATGGCAACGATAAAAAAGTTTTGGAATTGGCTAAAAAGTTGGAAAAAAATATGACAAATATAAAATAATGAATATGAATGTTTTTAGTTTTTTTTTTTTTTTTTTCTCGCACTGATTTCAATTATCCTTGCTCGAATTTTATCACGAAATAAATATCTTTTCCTATGGTATTTTACATTTTTTTATTGATTGTTGGTCTTTTTTTCTTGGCTGATTTTTTTCAAAGGAGACCAATTAGCAGAGATGGTTTTATTGGCTGTCTCTCTCATTCTTTATTTAGTATTAATCCCCTTCCTTTTTCTTCTCGCTATTTTTATTTTCAAAAAAAAAAAAAAAAAACTAAACCTTAAAATAATCTATATATGTCGCTCAAAGCCTTTTTAATTATTTTAGCAATTGTCATAATTTTTGTAACTATTTGCTCGTTAATTCCTTATTATCTTTCCAAGTGATTAGCTAAATGGTTGAAAAACGTCCAAAGAATTGATAATCGGAAAGACTTGGATAAATCGCCTAAGTTAAAAGAAATAGTGCGGATTGTCCGAACTGTTTCTCGAATGTATAAAATAAAAATGCCCGAAGTGGGGGTTTACCCCTCGCGGGAAATTAATGCTTTTGCTACTGGTCCGGCGGGAAATACTTTAATTGCTTTTTCTAGTAATTTAATTAACAGTATGAATATGAATGAGATTAAAGGAGTGGTCGGTCATGAATTATCTCACCTTATTCATTATGACATTAGGAGGATTTTGCTAGTACAAGGAATATTCGATGTTTTTTATTGAATGTTTAGTATTCTGTTGGCCTGGTTTCTGTTTCAACCTAGCAGGGATGAAGAGGAAGGAATAGGATACTATGTTCGCTTCTTTTTCAAAGTGATACTTTTTCAAATAATTACTGCCATTGTCCGTTTAATTGGTATTATGATTGTTCTGTGATATAACCGCCGCCGGGAATTAGCCGCCGATTTACGAGGGGCAGAAATAGTCGGAGTAGATAATATGTTAGCCACTTTACAGAAGCTTTTAGCCTTAGAAAATAAAGCCTGAATGGTTGACGGCATAGACTTAACCGAGGATGAAAATACCAAAGGTCACGGCGAACCTAACTCCATTTCGCTATTAAAATTCAATCCCGAAAAGAAAAAAAAAGGTCTATTAGATTTATTCCGCACTCATCCCCGTTTGGAAGAAAGAATTGAACGATTAGAAAAACATCGAAAAAAACTAAATAGCACCGGCACTATTATTTAGGAAAAATTAAATAATTAGGGTTAGCCGTTGCCAAAACTGAAATAATTTTATACACTTATATCAATAAATTTGTTTGGCTAAGTTTTTTCTTATACTCAATTTACTTTTTTTTATAATTAAAAGGTTTTAACAAGCAATTTTTACGAGCAAAGGAAAAAACTTTATTATAGAAAAACAAATTTCAATGACAAAATCTTTAATCTTTCTGGAATCAGCGACTAAAAAGAGAACCATTCAATCCTTTTTAGGAGAAAATTACATAATATTCGCAACTAGCGGCCATTTATGAGAATTAAAAAAAAGCGGAGATTATAATTTAGGAGTAAATTTACAAAATTTTTCTCCCTCTTATGAAGTAATTCCTGAAAAAAAACTAAATATTACTTTTTGAAAAAATTTTTTGTTGAGTGAAAAACAGAATATTTCAATAATTTATTTAGCGACTGACCCAGACCGAGAAGGCGAAGGAATCGCTCATGAAATTACCCAACTACTCAAACTAGACCCTTCTCAATACCAACGTCTACTTTTTTATGAAATAACTCCACGCAATATTAAAGAAGCGTTAGCCAACCCCTTGCCCCTTGATAAAAACCTCATCGAGGCACAAATTTCCCGGCAAGTTCTCGACCGCATGATTGGTTTTTGTTTGAGTCCAATTTTACAAAAAAAACTCCGGGCTTTATCAGCCGGTCGGGTCCAATCGGTAGTTCTTAAATTAATTATTGAACGTGAATTGGCTATCAAAAGTCACGCCAAAAAAAAAGAATATATTATTTGTGGAATTTGTCCGATTAACGAAAAAAAAATAACTCTTAAACAAGTAAATTCACTGAGCGAATTAATTATTTACCCAGAAAAATCCCAAGCTGAGGAAGTAGTAAAAAAACTAAGTTTGAATTTTCAATTATTAGCGAAAAAAGAAGAAGTTAAATTTGTGCTTCCTAAAGCCCCTTTTACCACTTCTTTATTACTTTCCGAAGCCAAATCTCAACTAGGTTTTTCTATCGACCAGACTACTCGATTAGCCCAAAAGTTATACGAAGGAATTTGGTTAAAAAATGAAAAAAAACCGGTTGGTCTAATTACTTATCCCCGGACTGATTCTACTCGCATTAATCAAGAATTTCTGAACCAAACTCATAATTATATTAGCCGCCAATGAGGAAAAGAGTATTGTAATTTCCGTCCCGCCTGAGAGAAAAAGGAAAAAAAAACCAATGTTCAGGACGCCCATGAAGCCATTCACCCCACTTATCTTAACTATCAACCCTCACGCTTAGAAAGTTCTTTAAGCAATGAAGAATATAAATTATATGAACTAATCTTCCGTCACACTTTAACTAGTTTAATGAGTCCTGCCAAAGTTAATAAAATTACTTACCTTTTTGACAATAATAATTATTTTTTTGCTACCACGGAAAGGATTAGCCAATTCCCAGGTTTTCTCGCCTGTGCTCCCGAAATTTATTTACCAAATTATAATATTAAATTGGCTAGTGAATTAGCCGGAATTAACCAATTATTAGCCCAGAAAATAGAAGTGCAAGAATATCAGGAAAATAAACCGGTTCGCTATAATGAAGGAACGTTAGTCCAAACCTTAGAAAAACTTGGCATTGGTCGACCTTCTACTTATAACACTTTTGGTCGGATACTAATTAAAAGAGAATACGCCGCCTTGAATGAAAAAGGTCATTTTGTCCCGACCGAAAAAGGATTTTTGGTTAACCAATGATTACAAGAAAATTTTCCTTCTTTAATTAACGAGAACTATACCGCTCTTTTGGAAGCGGAATTAGACAAAATTAGCCAAGGGCAAAATACTTATTTAGATTTTATTAAAAACTTTTGAGGAGATTTTGATAAGCAATTAAAATTATTATCTTAATTAAATGAAAATTATAATAAGGTCTCGCTCCGAGAAAAAAACTAAGCCAACGATAATCACTTTTACTAGCCAAGAGAGAGAGAAAAATTAAAAACTGCCATCAGTTTTTCTCTCCAACACTAAAATATAAGTTATAAATGAATCTCGAAAGCGTATCGTTATCGGAAAAGACCAAAATAAATCTCCAACAAGCAGGCTATAACCAACTAACTAATATCCAATTACAAGTTATTCCTCTGATATTAGCAGACAAAGATATTATTGCTCAATCACAGACCGGCACGGGAAAAACCGCGGCCTTCTTGATTCCAGTTTTGGAAAAACTAGAAAACATCGGTAAACCACAAGTACTTATTTTAGCTCCGACCCGGGAATTAGCCTTACAAGTAAGCGAAGAAGCCAGAAAATTATCGGTCAACAAATTACGTATCTTGGCAGTTTACGGCGGCGATTCAATTCACAGGCAATTACAGTCTTTTCGCCAAGGAATAGATGTAATAATAGGCACACCAGGGAGAATAATTGACCATATTTTTACCCGAAAAAGTTTCCCCTTAGAACATTTAAAAATTGTCGTTCTGGATGAAGTTGACGAAATGATTAACCAAGGATTTTTAAAGGAAGTGGAAAGGATAATTAAAAGACTTCCTCGCGAACGCCAAACCCTACTTTTTTCGGCCACTATTTCGCCCCAAGTGGAAGGATTTGCCAAAAGATTTGCCACTAATCCGGAAGTTATTACCAGCACCACTGACGATTTACCAAGTAATACTGAACACTATTATCTCGAAGTCTCTTCACCACGGCAGAAAATACCTAATTTAATTAAATTTCTTTCTACTAATAAACCTGATTCGGTAATTGTTTTTGCCAACACCAAACGAAAAGTAGATGAAATAAAAGATATTCTGTTGGAAAATCAGTTCCGAGTTGACTCTATTCATAGTGACTTATCGCAATTCCAAAGAACTAGAGTTTTCCAAAAATTCCGAGCGAAAAAAATTTCTTTATTAATCGCTACTGACGTGGCCGCTCGGGGCTTAGACATTAAAGATATTTCTTATGTCATTAATTATGATTTCCCCCAAGACCGAGAGTTTTATATTCACCGCACCGGACGAACTGGACGAGCTGGAGCCAGCGGTAAGGCACTAACTTTCGTTGTCAACTCTTCCCGAGAAAAAAGCCAATTATTAGCCATAGCTCGGCAAAAAAATTTCCAATTAGAAAGATTTAATCTTTAATTTTTTATTAGTCCCTTTCATATAAAGGGTTTTAGACTGATTATTAAGAACTAAAAAGAAGTTAGTTAATAGTTATTAATTTAGTTATTAGAATAGATAACAGAACTGATAACTGTAAAATTAATATAATAAGTGAAATAGTGAAAAACCAAACTAAGATTAATAGTCTCAAACGGCAACCTAACGGAACTTATTATTGATTAAAGGATAGTTGATTATCCTTAAAGAAAAAAGTGGTTATTTTGTGGCTATTCGGGAGTTTAAAGGTTATTTAGGTAAAAATGAATATGCTGGAGTTTGACAAGACCCTCAAACCAAGATTATTTATTTGGATGTAGTAATTTGAGTTCCTGATGAAGAAACAGCCGTAAAAATAGGCAAAGTTAAAAAGCAATTAGCTATTTGAGATATTAAACAACAAAAAGAAATTTGAATATATAATTATGAGAAAATGTAATATTTGTCAAAACAATCTCCATTATCCTTTTTTGGCTAATTACCAACTAGGGAGATTTATTTGTCAGAATTGTTTGGAACAGAGGAAAGAAGCCGTAAAAATAGAAACTAATAATTGGAAAAGAGAGAATGAACTAGAAAGAAAAGAATATTAATATGTCCGAAGAAAATAAATGTAATAAATGTTTACCATTAATAGAAAAATTTGGTGTGAAAAAATAGAGTAGATAAAAAGTTAGTCAACGGAATTCATGGAACATTATTTTATGATACCGAACGAAAAACGGGAGCGACCAGCAGAAAAAGAGAATTTTATCCAATCAAAAAAGAAAACGAAGCAGTTATAGTAATTAATGGAAAAAAATACAAAGACCATTTTTTTGATTAATGATTAACTAACCGTTTAGATTAAAATAGTAAATTTTATTTATTGGATTTCATTCCCCAGCGGGTAATGGCACGAAAAACACTATTTTTTAATTTTCGGGCTTGATTCTAATATTGGAACAATAAATAAGTTCACTTTTTTTTTTTTTTTTTTGGATACAATAATACTTTTATCTTTATCAGTCCCCAAGGTATTAATCAAAAAAGAAAAAGACTAATCAAAGCAAATAAGAAAAAGTTAATATACTTTCCTTGCTCGACCCAATTAAACATCGGTATCATATACTTTTTTCACGGTTTAGTTAGATATTTTTCTTCCACCAAAAATCTCCGGCTAATATTGGCAGCAAAGAACAAAATAGGTTGAACGGTAAGAAAAAGAAAAGTTGGCAGACGATAAATAGTTTTGGCTTTGGTTTTAGCAAATTTAAAAAAATAGAATAAATTTAGTGGGATAGCAATAAAGTGCCAAGTTATTGAATAAATTCATCAAAAAGCTCCTCTTTTAATTCCTTCTTCGCTTAATTGCTTAGGAAGATAGGTAGCAAATATTACCATACTTAATAAATTGCCAACTACCGCAATTAAACCCAGTATTTCTCAACTCTTTTCGGTTCTTTTACTTTTCACATTTTTTAATTCAATAAAACTATAAATACAAGTTAAAATTGAACTTCACACACACCAAAAAACGGTAATTCATTCGTAAAAAAAGTTAAAAGGAGCAGTGGCAAACTTATTAGCCCCATAAAGGTAATTATTAAAAATCAGGGAAGAGACCAGGGAAAAAATATTCAGGCTAATAATAGTTCCTAAAAGTGATTTTTTTCAGTTAATTTTGGCTGAGGAAAGTTTCATAAATATTAGTGATAAATTCCTTTAACTAATAAATCTTTTTCGGCTCTTTTTTTCTTGCGGAAAAATAATCATACGGCTAACCCACCAATTAGAAAGGCACCCAGGGCAAAGCAGCCGATTACTCAACCTCTTTTATATCATTTTTCTTTGCTTTGGGTAGTGGTAAATACTTCTTTGAAGTCGTTTAGTATGTTTTCCTCAGTTAACTCTTTATTACCCGAATTATTATCAAAAGAATTAGTCAAGCCTTTGGTTAATAAATTATCACTCAAAATATTACAAAAATCATTATCTCCGCCTGAGGTTGGTTGATAGTTAGCCAGTTGGGAAGATAGGTTTTGAATTATTGTTTCTTGGTTGGTTAGTAGGTTATTATTTTGTTCTCCTTCACCGGCTAATTTATTGAAATGATTAGTTAAACCAGTAATTAAGTCTTTTACATCTCCTTCTAATCCGGCTTCTTGTGCGATAACAAAAGGAGACTTGCCTTTAAATGCTTGGGGATTTTGCAAGGCTAATTTTCCTGATTTCACCATTAAATTAATGACATTTTTAAGCACTTTTTCATCACTGAGAGCCAGAACTAAATTGATGGAAGAATTAATTAATTTCATAACCTCGGGTGAGTTTTTAATTTGTGGTGGAGCATAGTTGTTTATCAATTTTGCTAAAAATAATTTGGTTTTTTCTTTCAGTAAAATTATTTCTTCTTCGGTCAAACTTTCCAAAGTATTCATTAACTTACTTGCCATTTGCTTTGTCTCAGCGTCACTTAATTTTTCCCCAAATCTTTTCCGAATAATCGCTCCTTGAACTTCGGAAACAATTTTTTTAACTTTCTTCACTACACTAACTTCTACTTTGTGGTAATTTTTAGGTTTTTGATAATTACCACGAGCGGCGACTTGGTCGATTTGGTGAGCGAGGACCGGCAGAATTAGTTTTATTTTCTCCTCTTGGCTTAATCCACTTTGCTTTTCCAAAAGGATACCTTGGTAAAATACTTCTTCATTGAAAATAGCCAAAAAGAGATTGACGGCTGAGTGAGAAAATTCTTTGAGCGTCGTTCTTCACTCGCTAGGTAGCTTCGCAACCGGAATTTTATCGATTTGTTCGTCGATGGCTTCTTTAGCGAGGTCTTTCATTATAATTTTTAAATCCCGCCATTCTTCCCAGCTGTAATTCATTAAGGTTTGTTTTATTTTTTGCCCGGCGGCTTCATTAATTTCGCCTTTAAAGGCTTTAATTAGAAAATTTTTAATGTCTTCTTTCTTGTCTGTCATATATATATATATATATAGCATATGAATCAAAAAATAACTGAAACTGAATTTAATGACTGAAACAAAGAATTCAAAAGATTTTTGTGAACAGAAGCAAAAAAAATTTCCGACCAAGTTGAACGAGAAGAATTAATAAAAGTCATCTATTTTTATGATTTACATATAAAGTTAGGAAATACCTTGGCTTTGGCTAGTCTAGTGAATTCTTTACAACAACACCTTAGTAGTTGTGATCCTGAATTCCGTAACCGAAAATGGTCTGATTTCGGAAATAGAACTTATGAAGAATGACTGGACTATATTGTGCGACGAATAAACCAACATCACCAAACTCGGATAAACTATGAGCCCGATTTAACTACTATAAAAATCCGCCGCCAAAAAGCCAAAGGTTGGTGGAACGACGACCATTTTTGTAATGAACTTTTTATCCAAATTGTTAAGGATAATGAAAGTTATAATTTGATTTGAAATATAAGGAACTATTTTCAAGAAGGTGAAAAAAAATTTCCTGACGCAGGAGGTACGCCAGACGAGTTTATAAGGAAATTTATCTACTTATTTGAAGATTTTACAAAAATTATCGAGCAAGTCAAAACTAAATTAGAACAGCCAAACTCTCCTCGGTCACCGGAAAAACCGAGCCAAATCCCGAATTCTACTGACGACAAAAATCATCGCATCAGTAAATTAGAGGAAGAAAAAACCTTCCTGGAAAAGCAAAAGCACGAATTAGAACAAAAATTAGCCAACTCGGAATCGAGTCCGACCGAAAAAGAATTGACCAAAGTTCTACTAACTGATAATCATCGCTCACTTGAAGAAAATGAGAAAAAACGGAAAAAATTGGTTGACGAGAAAGAAAAAGGCAATAATCCCACTTCTGCGAAAAACAACAGTAATAATAAAGTTAATTGAGCCATTGGTTTAGGAATAGCAGCCGTGCTAATTGGACTTATTTGCCTAATTTTGTTAATGAAAAAGAAAAAAGAAAAAAATTAACTTAACCAATTTTTTTTAAATTTCTAGTTTTTTAATAAAACTCTTTTATATGTTCCAACTCGTAAGTGATTTTCAATCCCAAGGCGACCAACCACAGGCTATCAAAAAACTAGTTGCAGGCATTCAGTGCGGACAGCAAGAACAAGTTCTACTAGGAGCAACCGGCACTGGTAAAACTTTTACCATGGCTAATGTCATCCAACAAGTCCAAAAACCCACTTTAATTTTGGCTCATAACAAAACACTTGCCATGCAAATCTACCAAGAAATGCAAGGGTTTTTCCCCCACAACAAAGTGGAATATTATGTTTCTTATTTTGATTATTACCGCCCAGAGGCTTATATACCCTCAGCCACCATGAAGGAGGGAAAGTGGTCTCTTGGTGACGAACCTGGTTATATAAGCAAAAAAGTTCAGCGTAATAATAATATTGCTAAAATGCGGTTAAAAACTTTAAACGCCCTGGTTACTAACCAAGATGTAATTGTCGTGGCTTCGGTAGCGGCTATTTACGGCTGTTTTAATCCCGTTTCTTATCGGAAAGTAGTTATCCATTTAGAAAAAGGGCAAGAAATAGAACCAGGAAAATTAGAAAGAAAATTACTTTGCTTAGGCTATAAAAGGAACAAGAAAATTAATTCGGGCACCTATGATATAAACGATGATAACATTTTTTTTATGTTGGGCTGGGAAGAAAATTATTACTTTCAAATCAGCCTCAGTAAAAATAAAATCCACAAAATAGAAAAAAAGAATAAACAAACAGGGCAAAAAATAAGGGAATTGCGGGAAATTGCCATTCCGCCTAGCCAAGATTATGTTGGTGAGGAAGGCGAAGAACTGGCCGAGACCTTAATTAAAATTAGGAAAGAACTGGCCGGGGCAAAAAAAAACTTTGAGCAAGAAGGAAAGTTCCTCGAAGCCGAGAGGTTAGAAAAAAGAGTTCAGGAAGATTTATTTAATTTACAAGAGATGGGATTTTGTCCCGGCATCGAAAATTATTCTCGTTATTTTGACGGACGAAAAACTGGCGAAACTCCTTTTGTTTTACTCGACTACTTTCCGGAGGGTTTTTTAACTTTTATTGATGAATCGCACATTACCGTTCCCCAAGTAACAGCCATGTATAATACTGACCGCAAGCGCAAGGAAACGCTAGTGAAACATGGTTTTCGCTTGCCTTCGGCTCTTGACAACCGACCTCTTAACCAAGAAGAATTTTTCCAGAAAAATGATTATCTCATTTATGTTTCAGCCACTCCCAGAGAATTTGAATTAACCAAAGTAGGTTTTCAACCAATCGAACAAATTATTCGCCCTACTGGTCTGCTTGACCCCCAAATTGAAGTAAGGAATTGTCGTAACCAAATTGCAAATATTATGGAAGAAATAAAAGAAAGAAGTGCCAAGGGAGAAAAGGTGCTTGTTTATGCTTTAACCATTATCATGTCTGAGGATATTGCTCGCTATCTACAAGAAAAAGATATTAGAGTAGTATATTTGCATAGTCGCTTAGAAGTATTCGAAAGGTATCAAGCCATAACTAGTTTACGACGAGGAATATATGATGTCATAGTGGGAATTAATTTGCTAAAAGAAGGAATAGATTTACCAGAAGTCTCTTTGGTCTGCATTTTGGACGCTGATAAACCCGGGTTTCTACGGGATGCTCGCTCGCTAATTCAAATAATTGGCCGAGCCTCGCGCAATAGTAACGGCAAGGTTATACTTTATGCTAACGAAATTACTAGTAATATGTTAGAGGCGATGGAAGAAACTAAACGCCGCCGCCAAATTCAAGAGGAATATAACCTACAAAAGAACATTACTCCTCAAACTGTCCAAAAGCCAGTTAAAGATATCGTGCTTGACCTAGAAATATCTATTTTAGTGGAAAAAGCTCAAACGGGAGCAATGACCGAAAAAGAGTTAACTAAATTAATTAAAAGCCTCGGAGGAAGTATGAAAAGAACCGCTCGGGCTTTCGCTTTTGACCAAGCCTCCGCCTTTCGTAATGCTCTCGTTGATTTAAGAAAAGGAGAGACAAACAACCATATTTTATCATTGATAGACAAGTTTATCGCTCCGAAAAAAAATGATAAAAAACTGGAAAATGAACATGAAAAAATTGACTTGGGAATTTAGATTCGACCAAGCACAACTTGCTTTTCACAACACAATTTTAGATTTAGCAAGTCGACAAGTAATTAATTTTTCACAAATATAAACCAGCGGCCGGGGCAATATTTTTGTATTTGTAATTTTTCTCAGCAAAATTAATTAATTTTTCAACTAAGTTTTTAATAGTTTGTTTTCTTTCGTAACAATTAATAACTTCACCAATTATGGCTCTAATTTGGTAACGGAGAAAACTTCTAGCCATAATACTAATTATTAGGACATTTCCTCTTTTTCAACTTTTTAACGAAATAATTTCCCGTTCTGTATTAGTTTTTTCCCGCTCTCGTCAGCGACAGTAACAGTAGTTAAAAAAATTGTGTTTTCCGCGAAAGACTTGTAAAATATCATTTAGTTTTTTAGTTTCCAGTGGTCGATTATACTCTCAGCGATATTTTTTTTGAAAAGTATTATATTTTCCAACATTAATAAAATAGCGATATTCTTTTTTGATAACACTTCGAATTGGGTGAAAACTACTAGTTACCTTTTTAACTTTTTTGACCAAGAGGTATTTGGCAAGAATTTTTTTTAATAAGTTGAGTAATTTTCTTTCTGTGAAAGATAGATTAAGCCGCAAGGTGAAATTTTGGTCGTGGGCATGAACTCCTTTGTCAGTGCGACTAGCACCTAAAACGCTGATTTTTTGCGAAAAAACTTTACTAAGAATATTTTCAATATATCCTTGAACGGTAAATTTATTGGGCTGTTTGGCTCAGCCAGCAAAATCACTACCATCATAAGCAATAGTCGTTAAGTAAGAATAAGTTATGTTTTTTTTGTCCTTCACTTCTGCTTCTAGTTTAAATCTTTTTTTTGTAATAAGTTAATAACATAGTGAATAAATTTTACGAATTAGAATTAATTTTTTGCATAATATGCTCTAAAATGACTTGTCATAAAATTTCTTTTTCTAAACTTTCGGTTATTGCTAGCCGAGGTTTAGTTACCGGATGACGTGGTTCAAATAAATTACAACAATCTTGATAACTAGCCAAAGCCAGAGAATAAGTATCAATTTTTTGGGCTAGTTGAATTATTTCTTGCTTATTGAAACTAATTAAGGGTCGAAAAATAATTAAGGAACTAACTTGGGAAATCACGGTTAAACTTTCGACCGTTTGGGAAGCCACTTGGGCTAAGGAATCACCGGTAGCTAAGGCAATAATTGCTAACTTTTCGGCTAACCGGCAAGCTAAGCGAATAAACATCCTTTTTAAAATAATTAAGCGATATTTTTCTTGACTAATATGACTAATTTCCGTTAAAACTGGTTGAGATTTGGCAATAATAAAGAAAATTCTAAAAGTTTTTGTTTTTAACTATCTTCTTCCCTCAGAGGGTTAAAAGACCTCTGTAAAAAAACAAAAAAGATTCTTGCTAATCTAATTGGAAAATCAATTAGAGAGAATAAGTTCCGCGGAAGCAAATACTCTTTTGGAAACTTATTTTATCAAGTTAGAGTAAAAAAGAGGATAGTCATTGGGTGTACCCGCTAGTAGGAACAAAATAGAGAAATAATTACTGAACAAATAGGCTAATTATTTTTTTATATCTTTAATCTGACCGCAGTATTTTCTACTTTCGGAACCAGTTTTTTAACTGCGTGAGAAAAGTGGTTAATATTTTCAGTCAGTTTGGACGGTAAGAGGAGAGTTTTTTGGTTGGGGTCAATAACCTCCACCCCCCTTACTCACTTTTACCGTTACCTTGTAATAACTCACCTTAAATTTAACCTTTTTAGAAAAGAAAAATAAAAAGAAAAGTGCCAAGTTATTATATTCTAATTTTACCAAAAACAGGAACACAGTCTCCGTAAACTACAAAAAAACCCCCCGCGGACCAAAGTTTTTGGTTATTGTTCGTTTAATTGTATCGTGATTAACCTTTTAACTGGGTCCGCCCCGAAATATAACAAAAAAAAATATGGTAAATATAAACAAAAAAAATAGCAAACTAAAACAACTAAGTCTAATTTTAGACCCAACTAAACAAGACCAATTAACTAAATTATTAGAAAAAACCGACCAATTAGAGCAAGCTAAGCAAAAGGCAGAACAAGAAATTAAAACTAAAAAAGCCAAGCTAGCTAACTTAAAGAATGTTTACGCCCATTACCGCGGAGCTCAAAAGGAACTGGCTAGTTTAGGAACCACTGGTAGCAAGAACACTTACCCGGTCAAAGGGCAAAAATTCTTAGGCGATGGCACCGGCACTAATGAATATAGTTGGGAAACCAAAATAACTAACCATTACCCCACTACTTATACTCAGGGAGCTACCACTTATGATTATTCCGATAACCTCTACTCAGTTAGCGGAAAAAAGTTGAACTATTACCGAAGAGCAAGCGATCCGTTTACTAGCCAAAGTAGTTTACGAAGTCGCTAATATTGATAAAGCCAAATTCAGTGCTAAATATATTGGGACGGATAAAACCACCTTAGAAAATGCCATTGACCACATCAAAGAGCAAGGGACAGCTATTAAACAGATGAACCAAAAAGGCGGCCAAGAATTAACGAAAAAAACTTATGACTTGCCGCAAACCTATACCAAAGAGCAAACGGGAACTACTAATACCCCTTATACTGCCAATCCCTTGCAATTTGCCTCAGTCTTTGCTTTATTAGCGAAATTAAATACTGACGCGCTCATTAGTGAAGTGGAAGATAAAAACAAAATAACCCAAAGTGAAAAGTGAGCCATTTGCCCCAGTGGGGAAGCTTACACCAGCTCGGAATTAGCCGATTATGGTATTAAAGTAACCGACAGCAGTAAAACTACCCTTTATAAAACGGGCTCAACTAGTCAAGAAATTGCCATTACTGATGGCTTAAAAGGCTGATTAAATTTAGCCAGTTTAGTTTTTGGGGAAGAAAAAAACCGTGCTAAAATAACGGCTTCCTTTACCGGCTCCCCAATCAGCAATTATTTAATGATTTACGCGACCAAACTACTTTTCGCACTCACTGGGAATTACCGGAAAACCCCGCCGGAGTAGAAACTTTAATTGATGAATTGGAGGAAGAAAAAAGCACGGGAGGAACCCGCAACGCCCAGTTAAAAGCGGATATCGAAGCTCAGCAAGAGGAAGTTATTACTAAGCAAACCGAGTTAATTACTCAAGCGGCCGAAATTAAAAAATTTACCGCTGAAATCTTAACTAAACAACGGGCCGAGTTAAAGAAATATAACTTAGCCCAAGGTTTTATCCAAACTACTAGCCAAGATAATCGTCGCCCACTAATAGAACTGCACCAAATTGAGCAATTATTAAGTAATATTCGCTGCTTAGTAAATGATGGGGATGAGACCTTACCCAGCGACCAGACCGAAGAAGAAACGGCTTATACGGCAGTGCAGCAAATTATTGAGAAAGTCAATAAGTTAAAGTGTCGTCTTTTTGCCGAATATGCTTATGTTAGCGAAGGAAAATATGACAATCAGCAAGCTATTACGAAAATTAAGGAAGATTACCAGTTAATCGGAGGTCTAACAGTCTGACGCGATGACTTTGTGGAATTAGCCAAGTTAATCCAACTGACCGAACGCGATAGCGAAGCCTTACGAGATATTGAAGCGGCATTAAAACAAGACAGTCCGACCCAAACTAATACTGACTGACGCAATAATTTAAAAACCATTGACGCCGGCTTAGAAACGGCTTTTACTGATGATAAAATAACCCAGTGAAAAGCCAAAAAAGACGGCCAAGATGCCTTTACCAATACCGCCAGTGTCAATACTCTTTTGAAAAAAATTTGCGTTCTCAAAACTGACGGCACTATTGACAAAGTAAACGATGACTTTTTGGCTTTTATTAAGGGCAAGGATGATAAATTAACCTCCCTAACTGAACTGATTAAGGAAAAAGACCCAGCCGCGGTAATTCTTTATATCCACCAATGGGAATACTATAAACTAGATGATACTAAAAAAGCCGAACGCCACTTACATTATGCCTGAAGTGAACTAGGTGGTAAGAAAGAAGTGGATAGTTATGAATTAACCGCTGAGGATAAGAAAGCCGGAGGTAATTTCGAGAAGTTCCTTTATCAGACGGCAATTGGCAAAATAACCGAAGCCTTGTTAACCAAACCCGTCAGCGAAAACAACGGCACCGGCACTCCTAATACCGAACCAGGTCATTTTGACAAATACAAGTGATACTATATCGGAATCGGTGTTCCGCTCACTTTAATAATCGGCGGATTACTGCTATTCGGAAATAGTATTAAAAAATGATGAAGCGGTGAAGAAACCGCGGAAACTAAAACTGATGAGGAAGAAAAAGAGACAACTAAATAAAGACCATGCTGGCAGTATTATTAGCCATTTCGCTAACTACTAACCTCTTTTTACTAGTAATGATAGCCATCCTCCTGGCTAAGGAGTGTGGCCAGTGTGGGAAAGGCAAAGAAATCAGCCAAGTCTTTGCTAAACTATGCGAGTGCTGTCTCCGTAATGGTAAAAATGGCAAAGATAACGGAGCCAAACCCAAACCAGAAAAAATGGCTATTTTTTAACACTCCGCCTAGCCCCGGAAGTTGCACCTAGTCTTCCTTAAAAAACTGGGCTAAGGGAGCTGGCACGTCCTTAAATAACCGGTGCCAAACCAGTTCGCGGGTTTTCTTTTGTTGATTGTTATTCCCCGCGAGCTGGACAAATATAAGAGTAATTTCTCTCCAAGATTACTCCGCTAACACGGGAGTAATTCCGCCACTCAAATCTATCGCCGCGGGTTCGTCGCCGTTTCAGGCTCTAACCTCCCAAGGTTAGTGGGTAATAGTCTCAGAAAATTCGGTTTTACTCCCACCTAATAACTTGGGGACCAAATATCCTCCGGGTTAGGCTCAACCCAATTCGGAGGTAGCTCCAACTCAATAACTCCGCTAGTTTTAGTATTTCTAGCGGAGCATAATAAGGTCAGCAATGCCCACCATTATTATTTACAGTTGCAGTATTAATTTACTGTATCTACCAAGTAACGAGAACTCCCAACTCGGCTAAGAAAGAGGGTTTTATTTTATAATTTGCTTTTACTAATGACCCGCGTTGGAATAGCGCGGGAGTTAGTGGAAGTTATTAACTAACCAAAATAACCGCGGGGTAGAGTAGTGGTTCAACTCGTCGGGCTCATAATCCGAAGAGCGGAGGTTCAAATCCTTCCCCCGCTACCAAAAAAATAAAAAATCAACAAGAAAATAACATGAATAATAAGGAAATCAAAGCAAGAAATTGCCGAATGTGTGGCCGACTTATGCCGGCAGTTATCCGCTATGACTCCGATTGATGTTGAATGTGCTGACGAGATATTTGAGAAGCCGGTTATTACCGTTATTATATCCAAAGAAAGCCCCAAAAAGAAAGAGGAATTACTTACTGAGAAGAAGTTCTATCTTTACGAGGAATAGATGGTTTTACTAAAAAAAACCAATCTTTAATTAAAGAAAAAATAACCCAAGCTCGAAAGGAATTAAATAATGACTTGAAAACTATTTAAAAATAACGGCCAACTCTTTTTATTACTTTTCTGACAAGGTAATATTCAGATTACGCCGTTAGCCAATAAAAAGACCAAAAAAAAGTGAACCCGACTAGAAATAGCCAAGGTAAAACTGCAAATATTAAGTAATTGAGAAAATAATTTGACCCAATTTATTGCCGACTTGGAAAATTATGGCAAATAACGATTGACTAGAACAATGACGAATAATGCAGGCCAACGGTTATGAACTGGTTCTCGTTACCGATGAATTAGCCCAAAAGTATGGCTTTAACACTAAAGTCTGAGTATGACGAAAAACTACTAATATTAATATGAACGAAAAACGAAACAGCCCAATTTTAACAAAAATCAATAAATTAAATTTAAAACAAGTAAGTAATTTTGACTTACTTAAAGAGTTAGAAAGACGAATGCTAATAAACCATGAAACCGATCCACAAGGAATTGATTTTTATCCCAAAAGAGGAATTATCGAAACTGGTGGAAGAATGAATGAAAAAGGCGAATGAATTACGGATTATAGATTAGATTTTTTAAAGTTAGCAGAAAAATATCAATTAAAATATGGAAAATAAAGAATTAAAAATAACAACTCTCTACGAACAATTCAAAAACACTCCTAAAAAACTCAAAATAATCTGCGACTGAGATGAAGTAATCCAAGCCCATGAGCCTTATGCTTGTTTTTTAATAGGCTTGAAAAGGATAGGCGAAGCACCTGGAAAGTTTCCAAGTTATTTTAAGTATTTTTGATTAGAAGGTGAATTTAAAGTTAACTATTCTCCTTATGGTTCTAAATTGGAATATGGAGAGGTTTTGTTTGGCGAAAAGGCAAAAGAAGACTATTTGAGAAAACAATCAGAAATCAAAAACTCCCCTAACTTCTACCAACAAGCCCCATTTTTAACTATTGCTGAGGATTTGTTGAAACTAATAAAGGAGGGCAAAGTAGAATTATTAATCTTTTTAAGTGCTTATGATAAGAGGAAATTCCCTAACGGCGACCCTAGAAAAAAAGAGATATTTGCTGAAACCTTTGCTAGATTGGAAAGAAAAATGGAGTTTAAAGATAAAGATGCTGGGGTTTGCGTTTATAAATCTCCTGAAATCATTTTAGAACTAATCCCTTTCGACAGTGAAGAAAAAGGATAAACCAAAGCCGACTGAATTAAAGAAAATGCGGCTGATTTTGATATAATTATTGATGATAATCCGAATATCTGTAGGAGTATGGCAGGAACATTTGCGATAGAAGCAAAGAAAGGAAAAATACTTGGCAGGTGAAAAGAATTTAAAGTTATTGCCCCTTATTATCCAGCCATAGCAGACCAGCACGATAAAGAAGTATTATTAATCAAAAATGAAGTGAGTGATTTAAAGAAAGAGAATTTCACTAAATAACCTACGGCAAAAAGACATTAACCAGTTATTAAATAATAGGTTAAACCAAACAAAAATTAATTAAACTAACATTATGAATTACACACGTGAAATCACCAAAATAATCCGGGAAAAATTAACCAAACAAGATAAAAATGGCAAGGATTACCTAATCCTAAAATTAGATGCCGAAGAAGTTATCTTTGTTTTCTCCAGTAAAGATTTATCCCCCGACCGCTGAAAAGACTTAAAAGAGGGTGAAGAATATACTTTTACTGTTAAGGAAGGTAATAATGGCAGTAATATTTTGGTTGACTTTGAAGGGCAAGGGATACTTGTCTAAATTTTTGAAGAAAAATAACTTTGCCAACGGCAAATATAAGGGTGGTCACAAGAAATAGTAATCGCAACAATTAAAGAACTCTTCGGTCAGGAAAATTTTAGCGGCAACAACCATGACTAAAAAACTCCACAAGCAAATCACCAAGAAACTAGAAAAATTACAACAATCATTAGAAAACCCCGCCGAAGTTCGGGCTATTGAACCGGACGACCCTAACAGTGACGCTCTTTACGACTTAGTCGAAAAGTTAAAAGAAATATTAAAGTTATTAGAAAATAAAGAAAATGGTATTTTAGTTCTCATCGATGATTGAGAAGACGAGCGAGAAGATGAAAACTAATTAGCGAAGAAAGTAAGAAGAACTCTACGGAAACTATTTATAACTTTCTGAACTAAGCGTAAGTGTTGGAATTGTCAAAAACAATTTAGTCGCCAAGAATGACAAGAAAAAAATTATCAACTTTATTTCCAAGAAATACTCGGAGCCTGTGAATCAAAAGAATTTCCTGAACCTCGTGATAACACTTGTTTGGACGGAGTATTAGTGAAAATATTCCACTGTCAGTACCCTCTGAGTTGTGGTTTTAGTTATGCAAAAAACTTAAAAAGTCGAATAAATAAAGATTTATAGTTTCCCGAAAATGGACCATAATCAAGAGAGAAAAGTTAAAATAATTATATACTTTCTTGATAATTAGTATAAAACAGAGAAAGAAAGAACCAAAAGCAAGAAAGTAAAAAATAAATATGAAAAAAAAAGAAATTCGTTTTCAATTTCCTCCCCGTGCGGAGTTTGAAAAAGTGGTAAAAAGAATCGGCAAAAGTGATAGAAGGACAAATATCGGCCTAAGTGCTAATGCTACTCCAATTGACAAAGCTAAATATAAACTTTGTAAAAGTATTCTCAGTTATAAGAAAGAAAATAATTTTGCTACCAAGGATATCGCTCAGCAGTTAGGATTAACCATTGCTAAAACCGAAAGCATTTTATATTCTCACGTTGACAAACTTGCTTTTGAGGAGTTGGTACATTATGCTAACAATTTGCATGTTCCTTGTCAATTAAGAATTAACCTTCCTTATGGTCAGAAAGAAATTTCCGCAAAAGCCTACTAACTTACGCCCTTATAATTGTAATGTCACGATTAATAAGCAAAAATTTACCAGATTAGAAATTAGTCCTTATTACGAAAAGCACAACCAGGAATATTTAGAAGCATTAGCCAAGCAAAAGATTAAACTTGCTCCTAATGAATTAGCCAAAAAACTAATTACTGATAATTTAATTTGTGAATTAGTTAATCAATTAGATGGAGAAAAAGTAGATACCGAAGGCAGATATTACTGCTGAACTTATTACTCTTTTCGGGTTTACCAAGGAATTAAGGCTTATAAACTAGTTTGGTGCGTAACTGATAATGAACCAGAAGTGTTAGGATTAATGGACTGTTATCGTCAAGGACAGAAAGATAAGAAAAAAGAATAAATAAAATGCCCAAAAATAAAAAATCTTTAACCATTCTTCCCACTAACCAACTTTTACAGCAAGTTTGGAATTATATTATTAGTCGCGTAAATAAAAAAGGAGAATGTAGGAGAAAGGAAAATGAGTGTCTTTTTTTATTAGGTTGAAAGGCGGGATTAAGAGTATCAGAAGCCATTAGTTTTGATTTGAACTTAGAGAATCAGCAAGTTGAGTATAAAAATCTCTACTTATTAAGGGGCAAGGGACAAAAAGAAAGATGAGTATTCGTGGCTCCCGAAGTAGTTAGAGAACTACAAAAGAGAAAGTGAAAATCGAATAATTCTCCGGATAGTTCAACTTTTTTTAAGTTCTTACAGCAAATTAAAAAGGAAATGAATATTGCTGATAATATTGAGTTAGCACCGCATACTTTACGGAGATGCTTTGCCACTTATAACGCGATAAGCGGCATGCCTTTACCCGTTTTACAAAAAGTATTAGGACATAGTCGCATCAGCACGACAGCTTTATATATTAAAGATAGTGATTTAAGTAATTTGGTGAAATTTCGACCAATATAGTTTTTAGTGATGTTATCAGAAAGACTAAAAATCTAGTTGCTTATAAACTGCTTATTAAAGTAAAGATTTTTAATTTTTTACTTGTCATGTTTAGGAGGAGTGGCTATTTTCGTTTCTAGTTTTTGTCCTTTTTCGGTGGTCGATAACTGTTTTTTTCACTGCAAAAACTTTAAGGAAAACTGGTCAGTGAAAAATCCTTTAATCTTTTCTATTCCCTCTAATTTATCGTAATCATAACTAAGCAAAATATTAGCTAAAATAGTAGAAGGTACTTCTTGCTTTTCTTTATTATCTATTCGACCAACTACTTTTTTATTAACTAGGAATGAATGGTTAAAAATTTTTTGACAATCGGGATCAACTTCTTCCGGACGAGGATGACGATTATTAGTTGAGTAGAAGTCATGAGTTCGCTGAACTATTTCTAACTGACTAAGGAGAGAATAACGAATTATTAGTCAATTTTTTACGCCGCTTAGTCCGCAATGACGAATAGCATCACAACTGGGACAATTAATTCCTAAATTAGTGAGGTTATTATTAGCTGCATTACCATCTATATGGTCACAAACTAATCACTTAGTTAAACTTAAACCACAAAAGCGACAACTATGGTTATGATTCAATATTGCTTTTTGTCGCAATTCTTTTCATTCGCGAGAACTGAGTGGTAACTTTCGATTACCTCAGGTGCGAGTAACACTTAATTTTAGTAAGTTAGTAGGCATGATGATTTTATTTAGTGAGTATTTCTATCCGGGTTATTAATTGCTTATTTTTTTCTAATTCTAATTTCACTATTTCTTCTTTAAGTTGACAAACCTTTGTTAATTCTTCAGAGGAATAATGTGCAAGAGATTGTTTTAATTACCTGCTGAACGATTATTCTTATTTTGCTGTGCTAATAACTTATCCAATTGTTTCTTTTTATTTGCCAGCAGCTTCAACTGTTTTATTTATTAGTTTTACTTTATAACTGCTTAATTAATCTCAGTTTGTAATTGGTTCATACTTTTTATTAATACATTTTAAATATAAAATATGTTATAGTATTAACTTAAATATGGTAAATTGAAAAGATATAAGTTCGGAATTTACACCGGCATTACAAAAAGAATGGGAAGATAAGGGATTTAATTATAAAGAAACAAAAAAATGAATGAACCTTGGGTTGAAAGTGAACGAAGCTACCTATGTCGCTTGGTTAAGAGATATTAAAAAAGTTGGCTTGAAATGAGCACTAAATAATCAACAAGGATTTAAAAATTTACAAAAGAGATATAAATTTGGATTATGCTCAGAGTGTCGGCAACCTAAGACTGATGGCAGTCAGTGTCAAGTTTGTAATGACCAACATTCTCAAAATAATTTCAAAAATTTAACCAGCGGCAGTTTTGATATTGATCAACTTATTCAAAATCAGCAATTAAAGTCAATTGATCCCATACAAATATTAGAATGAATTCCTTATAAGGAATTTACAAACATTGAGCATTTGACTGATGGTGGTTTCAGTACCGTATTTAAAGCTGTATGGAATGAGGTCGGACCCCTTAGCAACTTATATATTGAAGATGAATACTGGCTAAAGGGTAGTGCTATAAGCGACTCTAAGGAAATTGTTCTAAAAAGTTTAAATAATTCTCAAAATGTAACTGCTGATTTTTTACAAGAGATTACTTGTAACAAGTTAGTTAATACTGATTTAGGTTCTATTGCACAATGCTATGGCATATCACAAGATCCTAAGACTAAAAATTACCTCATGGTCATGGATTATATAAAAGGCGGTAATTTAAGATATTATTTGAATAAGAATTGTAACAAACTACAACTTGAACTTAAACTTCTTCAAATGCATACTATTGCTAAAGGATTGAGTGAAATTCATAAAGTGGGATTAATCCATCGGGATTTTCATGTTGGGAATATACTAGTTAACGTTAGTGCTGCTGATAATTTTATTACCGACTTAGGTTTATGTCGACCTGCTAATGAACTAGATAAAGGTAAAGTATATGGAGTTTTGCCCTATGTTGCTCCGGAAGTACTTCAAGGTCAGAAATATACCCAAGCTTCCGATATTTATTCTTTTGGGATAGTGGTTTATGAGATACTTTCTGGCTTGCCTCCTTATCATGACTTAGTTCATAACGTAGGTTTAGCACGAGAAATATGTGCAGGACTTCGTCCCCAGTTTCCGGTTAAAATACCCCAACTATTAGAGAACTTAATTAAGAAGTGCTGGGATGCCGATCTCACCCAAAGACCAAAGATTAAGGAAATAACTAAGATACTGGGAGATTGAAGGTGAGAAATTAAAGAAGAAGGTAAGGAAATTTCTAGACAATGCAAACCAGTGCTAGATGCCGAAAAGAAAAAACTTTGTAAGCGACTTTCAGAACTTTATAAGCAGTACAAAGAGCAATCTAGAGAAATAGAGCCCGAAGAATCAGAAAAAGTAAAACAAGATTTATTTTCTGAATTTTGCCGCCAAAACAATTATGAAGAGGATAATTATTTTTATGGAACAAAAAAATCAAGAGATGAGTTTGATGAACTATTATATCCAACTAACATCAATAAAACTTATCAAACTCACTCCCAAGCCATCTATACCAGCCGCTTATTAGATTTTCCAAATCTCTCCCAACCCCAAAATAATCTTTCTCAAGAATGACAAACTTCCACTCTACTAAACTTGCAAATTAAAGCAATTGAAGAAGAAATAAAATCCCTTAAAAAACCTTTAGATAATAAATCATCAGAACTAGTAGACAGCTTCATCCAATCCAACAAAAAAACATTAAAAAACAAAGAAGATAAACAAGCCTGAAAGGAAGCGGGAGAATTGGAAGAAAAATTACAAGAAAAAGGTCTTTTGACTGAAGATATAGAATTAATTATTAAGTATTGTGAAAGATTAGTCATTTTGGAACAACAAACTGAGCAAGAAGAGTTCCAAACCCAAATTGAAATTCCGCCTAAGAATTAACTCGTTAAAAAAATATCATGGTTAGCAATCAAACTGAATTCAACAACAATTATTCTAAAAAAGCAAAAGAAATAAAAATTAAACGTAAAGACTTCCAAGGGAAGTTAATCATCGAAAACTATTCAGAATTGGAAAAGTTATATTTGTATGATATTCGAAAAACGGATGAAATAGTTCTCAAAAACTTATCTCAACTTCAAGTGTGCACCATCTGAGACTGCGGCATGAAATGATTAATTATTGAAAATTGCCCGCGAATAAAAAAGTTAAACTTGCGTAGCAATAATCTAACCAACTTAAATTTTCTAAAATACTTACCAAACTTAGAAGAACTAGAACTAGATGGCAATACTGAAACCGAATCTGGACTAGAAAATTTACCAGAAACTTTAAAAATCTTTTCCTATGAAAACACTAAACTATCTGAAATTTTAAAGCCTCATAAAGGTGACTGAAAAGTTTACCAAAAAGACCTACAAGAAATTATTGAATTAGCCGGCCAGAATCCTCAACAATTATTAAAGAGTATTCAAACTCTAAAAGAAGAAAATAAAAAACTAAAACAAAACCAACCAATCACCATTGATAATCCAACTGATTCCCAAAGGAAATATCAAAAACTAAAAGGAGTCTTAAACTTCCTTATAAAAGAAGAAGAGTTAAAAAGTAAAGAGATAGACTTACTAATTACCAGCGATTTATTAGAAAACATAAAAAATCTAAAAGAAGACCTGTCCAAAACGCAAAAAACTAAAAAAGAATTAGAAGAAAAACTTACCCTTTACGAAACTGTTCGGGATAAAATTCAACAAAAAGAAAGAGAGTTGGAAGAATTAACAAACAATATTATCTCTAATAATCCTGAAATAAAAGACGATTTAGAAGAACTATTAGAAGCACAACAAGAAAATAATAAGAAATGACTAGAAAGAATTAAAAAAAGACTAATTAAGCAAACAACAATAGAGCAAATAGACTTAATTTGTCAAAAACAAGACCAAATCATTCAATTGCAAAGAAACATTAATCAACGAGAGAAGCAAATCAATCAAATAATTAATAATATCACGGTTGGTAATGTGAATGTCCAGCAGGGGCATGCTATTATTGGTAGTCAAATAGGAGATAATGCTAATCTCAGTCAAATCACTACTTATGAAAGAGAAAATATTAACTGAACCAATCTTCACCCTTCTTTTACCCCCAACCTAATCTATCAATGGCAAGCACATAATTTCACTTGCGAACAAACTAGAAAATGAATTAATAGTAGTTGCCAAGTAATCGATGCTGACTTCTGTGTTTGATTAAGAGACACTAAACAAATAGATGCAGAATGAACGCTGAATCAGGGCAATCTTGAACAATTAAGAAAAGAATACCAAAATTACCAGCAATTAACAACCAACATTGAAATTCCACCTAAAAATAATTAAAAAAGCCTTATACACTTAGTTTTTTTTCGAAAAACTTACTACTTTATACAAAACTACTGTCAAAAAAAGTATTATCTGTTGCCTCTACTTCTTAGGCAGAGTTTAACTTTTGTTTTCTCTTTCTTTTCTTAATTTATTCATTCTTTCTCGAAATTCTCTTTCTTTCTTAAATTGCTCTTCTAAAATAGGGGCATGCTTTTCACAAAGCACCCCTGTTTTTTAAATGCGTTTCCTCATCAAAAGAAAGACCAAATGAACAAGCATCTCTTGGGCAATTATTATATCCATCTGGTTGGTTATTGATTTCTTCGTGTTTTTTTCTTAATCCTTGATATTCTTCAAAAATTTTTTTCGTTGTTTTTTGGTCATTTTCGTTTCTTTCCATAATAACAATTTTACCTATTATTATGAGAAATTAATATAAAATTACGTTATAGTATTAATTTAAATATGGCAAACGCCCAAAAATGGATCGATACCATTATCCCAAAGAAAAAAATAATATAGTGATTAATTTTCCTCCTTAATCTAATAAGAATTTTAGAAAAAAATGACTGAAAATTACTTCTTTCTAATCAGAATTATTTATTTTTTTCTAAAATTTAACTATTATGGTTCAGGCTCAGGAATATATCAATAACCTTTATCCTGTTTCAGATAGAGAAAATAAAGTTTGCCTAAACTTAACAAATAAAGAATTAGAAGAAGAACTTAACTTAAGAGAATTCAAAAATCTAGAAATATTGATTTGTTCACTTAACAAACTTACTAGTTTAGATGTAAATAATTTACCAAACTGAGAATTATTAACTGTACAATTAATCAAATTAACAATTTAAAATTGGGTTATTTACCATCTCTAAAACAGTTGGAATGCTCAGCAAATAATCTTCAAGAATTAGATATTAGTGGTTGTCCTAATATTGAATTTTTGAGTGCTTATACTGGCAATAATCTTCCCCTACCACAAACTGGCAGCAAAGAAATTTCAATATTAAGAAGATCCGGTGCTGAAATTTGAGGCGGTCTCACACGTAATATTGAACTTCGCTATCCAGATAAATTAGCACTTTATGTGAGTTACTTTGTAGATATTTCTGATCTCAAAAAATATTTAGAAGAATATGATTTTTCTCGAGCGGGAGACATTCAATATCATAAAATTTGTGGTTCTAAAGTAACTGAAGACAAATTCACAATGCACAAAAAGCCGATTGATGTTAAAGGCAAAATAATAATAAAGCCTTTTGAAATACTTGATAATACGGCACTTGATAACTTAGCTAATAAGTATTTGGCACGTTGTCTCATTATCCAAAATCGCTTAATTGAAGGAGAAAATAAAGAATATGAAAGCGAGATTAATGATTTAGCAGAAGGGTATCAACTTTGTAATTATATGGAAATTCGTCATTCGCCATTAAGATTAGGTCAAAAAGTCAAAGAAGTTCTGGAAGGAAAAGACAATAATTCTTTAAAAAGTATTGTTTCTCTTCCCTACTATCGTCGCAATTGAAAAGAAATTTTCACCAAAGCAAAAAATAGTTCATTATTGCAGAAAAAAAAGAAGAGTAATCATTTTGCAATCCTTTTCATTATTCTTATAACCATTATTATTTTCCTCTTGTTAACTTTTACATCAGAAAAGTTAATGCTGTAAATAAATACACTTCACTTATTTGTTCTTTATCTCTTATTGTATAGGCAATATTTCTCTTTCATAATGCAAATTACGGGAATTTCCTTAAACTGAGCAATTATTTTCTGACATTGTGCTGCAAGGCACGATTAAAGGTGTTTTCGGGAACGACTATTAGATTTGCGGACAAGGGTAAGAGGTTCTTCATGAATGGCTAAGTGAAAAGGAGTAAATAACTCACTGGCATATTCAACCAATTCATCCAAGGTAAAGTAATCAATATGACGAAATAAAAGATACTCTAATTTGTCAACTTGTTTAATTCCTAACTTTTCCCCTAATTCTTTCTCGGATAATTTATTTTCGCGTTTATAACGCAAAATATTTTTACAGATTTCATATTTACTTTTTTCTAAGGGAGTGGCATTGGGGGTTAAACCTTGATTTGTCCGACGATAACCTGGATGTTGCATTCTTTCTAGTTCGGCTACATCAATGGCTCGATAGCCAGTTTTATTTTTTAAATTAGTAATTTTTGTTGTCATATTCTTTATTTCTTATCAAATTTTCTTTCGCGATAGCAGTCAATTATAAGTAAAGTGGTGGTAAATGGCATTTCTTCATCATAATCTCAGACTAGTTTATAGGCTCGATAGCCAATATATAGAGGCTCAAAAGAGTAATATTTATTATCTCTTATTAATTCTTCTTCACCATTCAGTTGCTTTACCAATTCCCTAATTGCTTTATCGTCAACAGTCGAACGTCCTGCCTTGGTTTTATAGTATTGACTAATCTCTAATTCAGTAAATCACCGACCATTAATAACCACCTGACAAGGATAGTAATTAACGGGATAATTAATAATCTTTTTGGTCTTTTTTATCACCATGAACTATATAGTTAGTTTTTAACTTTTTCAATTTCTGACCCTAAATAAACTAACTCTCGCTCTAAACAGGAATAATTATCAGTGATTAATTCTTTATTTTTTTAATGTGTCTTGATAACAATTGCGACAGATATATCGCTTATGCTTATCATGGCATTGAATATTCACGGCTTTATAATCTCCATCTTGCTGATAGATTTTATTAGGGCATTCTTTATATCAGCAATTATCTAGTCCTTTTTCTTTGTAGAAGTTTTCTTTAAATTCTTTATTTCAATCCGGGTCATAAAAAACATTTACATTAACAGTTCTTAACTGATTGTCTCCTAATTTTTGAATTACAAATTTAACGTCATTCCCTCTCTCATTATCGTTTAAATGGATATTGATGTGGTCTTGTCTTTCTCCAACCAATATTTTTAATTCCCCGCTTTCTAATTTTTTAGTTAAATGTAATAATAATTCTTTGTTTTCCATATTTTTCCATATTTTTCCTTATCTTTCATGAATATCTATTAGGTAAGTAATTTTGCCAGTAACGAATTCCTCTTGAATATCAATTGCACTAGCATATCATTTACCTCTACTAAAACAAAATAGCCGAGGGGGGAAAAGTCGGTGGAATTGCCCGTTCACAGTAAAACTGATGGTTCTTTTGTTTGCTATTTCCGTCATAACTTTATTATTCATTTCTACTTTTCAGACTTATTCGGGCTAGTTCTTTCTGTAAATAACTTAATTCTCACTCTAAATGAGGATAATTATCGCTAATCAAATCCTTGTTTCTTTGAATTGAGAAAGTTAATTTATGAACGAGATTATTAATTTTTCTTACTTGGTATAACTCGCCAAAGATGGCTTTTTCGGTTAGTTTTTCGTTATTTTTATGTGTCATTGTATTTTTATTTTTCATATTTAATATTTTATACAGTTTTTAACTATATTTAATATTTTATGTGTCTCAGATTAAACAGACTTCAATTCTCGTGTCATATATCTTTTTAAAGTAGCTCGAATTCGAGGAACAACAATAAACTGCTCAATTTCCTTACTATAATTTCGTAAGCAACTATCGCAAATTTTTTTAGATTCTTTTTTAGATTCTTTTTTAGATTCTTTTTTAGATTCTTTTTGCGTTCAATAGTCTCAATCGTTTTTTAAACTAAATCGGTTGTAATAAGGAACGAATTTAATTAAAAATCATTTTTTACAACGAAAACATTTGGCTATTTGTGGTTTGGCGTGGTGTGACATTAATAAAATTTAAATTTTTTCTTCTTTTCCCTTTCTTTACAAACTATCCTATATTATCATTAAGTAAAGAAAAAAACCAAGGTAAAAAAATTTGAACTTGATGATAATAGACACATAAAATATATATATAATAAGTTTACTGGTTTTTTTTAAATCTGATTTCTTTGGTAACTGCATTTAATACTCTGAGGTAAGACTAATAGTTAAAATTTTACGAATTAGAATTAATTTTTTGCATAATATGCTCTAAAATGACTTGTCATAAAATTTCTTTTTCTAAACTTTCGGTTATTGCTAGCCGAGGTTTAGTTACCGGATGACGTGGTTCAAATAAATTACAACAATCTTGATAACTAGCCAAAGCCAGAGAATAAGTATCAATTTTTTGGGCTAGTTGAATTATTTCTTGCTTATTGAAACTAATTAAGGGTCGAAAAATAATTAAGGAACTAACTTGGGAAATCACGGTTAAACTTTCGACCGTTTGGGAAGCCACTTGGGCTAAGGAATCACCGGTAGCTAAGGCAATAATTGCTAACTTTTCGGCTAACCGGCAAGCTAAGCGAATAAACATCCTTTTTAAAATAATTAAGCGATATTTTTCTTGACTAATATGACTAATTTCCGTTAAAACTGGTTGAAAATCCACTAAGTAAACAGTTCGCGAGTAATTATTGTAGACTTGTAATTTTTCCACTAACGCTAATATTTTTTCCTGCCCTTCCTTTTGATAATAAAAATGTAAATAAATAACTTCTAAGCCTCTTTTCATTAATTGGTAAGCCGCCACTGGCGAATCTATTCCGCCACTAAGCAATAATAAAATTTTCCCCGCGCTACCCACTGGCAAGCCGCCTAAACCTTTTATTTTTTCGCTGAAAATAAGCATAAAATCCTGGTAAATCCGAATTGAAAAAGTCTTGTCTGGATTAGTCAAATCAACTCGCAAATTATACTTTTTTCTAATAACTTCTCCTAGTTCTTTTTGTAAAAGGAAAGAATTTTTGGGAAAAAGTTTGTCATTTCTTTTAATTGAAAGGCAAAAGGTAGTGAAGTTAATTTCGTAGTAATCAGAAAAATTTTCGGCAAAATTAGACAAATTTTCCACGTTGCTTTCTAATTGATAGGCCAAATAAAAATTACTTATTCCGGCAATTTTTTCCAGCCGCGGCATCAAATTAAGGAGAGATTCATTGTTTTCACTAGTTATTATTAATCTGTCGAAAAACTTCCTAATATTTAAGTCAATAAAATTATTCTTTTTAAGAACCAGAGAGAGATTATTAACTAACTGTTGAATAAATAAATGACGATTTTTCTTTTTGAGAAATAATTCTCCATAACCAATAACTAAACATTTACTATACACCGTATTTATCGTATTCTTTTCTTAATTAAGTTTATAAGTTGAAAACTGAGTAAGGATAAAAATAAATTTTGGTAATGACAATATTTTATACACCAAAAAAATAAGAGGGAATTATTTATGGTTCTTTTTACCTTTGTAATTTTGTTTATTTTTCCTCCTCCGAACTAAGAAGTAAGCAACTATTCCTGTTACTAATGCTATCAGTATAACTCCTCCAACGCCCCCAATAAACTCTCTCTCTCTCTCTCTCTCTCTCGGCTTTGCTAGTTTTTAATTGTTGTTCTAACTGTTTGGTTTTTAGTTCTAAAGCGGCAATAGCAAAGTCTTCGTCTTTAAGGTCAGAGACTATGTTTTTAATGTGGTAGATATTGGGGGCTTTAACATGACGATTACATTTATAATTAGGTAAAGCGTAATCTTTTCCAGAACCGAGATGCTCCCGAGTACTTGTGATTAAATAATGGTTATCGTCAAAAAAGATATCGAAATCAGAATATTTACTTCTGATAACTTCTCACCTATGTGGTGAATTTTCATTATTAACTGTTGCAACCTCAGTAAGTTCTAGTTCGCTTTGTGAAAATTTCCCGAACGTTCTTGCAAATTCTTTTCTTTTCATTATAACAGAAGCGGAAGGCTGACCTTTCCGATAAGAACTGATGATCACTATTTTCTCAACCAATTCCTCTTTTAAGCATTTTAGTAAGTCCTCAGCAATGGACAGATAAGGATAAGTGGAAGGTCTTGTAGAAACAGGATTTTTAAGTCCGTGACTTCTTTTTATCTCTTCTACTTTTTTTTGATAATCTGCTAGCGGAAGACCTTTCTTTTTTGCATCTCTTATTTCTTTTAAGACTATTTTATGTTTTTCGAATGCAGTTTTAATTTCTTCTGATTCTTTGTCTTCGCCTTCGATTCTAATTATATCATTAGTGAAAAATCCATTTTTACTGATAGGCGAACTAGTGGCATTCATAATTGCTCTTTCTCAAAAAATGTCAAAAAACTCCTTAAAATTTCGTTTAGAACCAGAAAAGTCATAAAGATCTGCTGATTTAAGGGGATGAAGGCATTCATCCCAATCACAAATTATTTTTAATTTTCTTCCTTTTTCTTTGTTTTTTTGTTTGACTAGGGAATAAAGAGTGGTAAATTTATTTTGTGCTGTCATATAAGATATTTTACTTAAATTTTTTATATGGAGGGCATACTTTTAATTGACAAACCAACTGGTCTAACTTCCCATCAAGTTGTTAAAATTATTCGGCAAAGGCTAAATATTAAAAAAGTAGGGCATGCTGGCACCCTTGACCCCTTGGCAACTGGTTTACTAGTAATTATGTTGGGTAAAACTACTAAATTAAGTAATCAATTAGTTAGCCAATTTAAATCCTATCAAGTAGAGGCTCAATTATTTATCGCTACTGATACTGGCGATATTACCGGAAAAATTAGCGAAAAACAAACTGCTTGAATTATCGAAAAAAAACAAGTTGCCGAAATCATTAATACGTTTAATAATCACGCTTATTACCAACAACCACCCATTTACTCGGCTATCAAGTTCCAAGGCAAAAAATTATATGAATATGCCCGCCGAGGAATAAAAATCGAAGTTCCGTCCCGACTAGTAATCATCAAAAAAATAAAATTATTAGACTATAACCAAACCGACGGAATAATAAGTTTTATGGCAGAATGTAGTAAAGGCACTTATATTCGCAGTCTAGTTCAAGATATAGCCAAAAAATTAGGAACAGTTGCTAATGTAAAAGAATTAAGGAGAATTAGTTCTGGTAATTTTCATATTTCCCAAGCCAGTCAATTAGCCGAAGTAAATAAGAAAAAAATAATTTCTGTGAAATAATCTGAGGAAAAATAAATTTTTTTAGTTATTAGTTTAAAAAAAGCGGTTAAAAACTTATATTATAAATGAAAGAAGAATTCCCCCTGGTTAGTTTACTAAAAATCTGAAAGGATTTAGCCGCTCAATATAATATTCCTTGAAAAAACTCTTTCTTGCAGTGAGATTTACCAAATGATATTGCGGCTGACTTAGCACTCAATTTGGCTTTACCCATTTCCCACCAAACTAAGCGTAATCCTCAAGTAGTAGCCCAGGAAATAATCGCAGCAACTAATTATCCTAATTTTGACTGAACCATTACTAAACAAGGCTATATTAATATTCGCTTGCCTAATACTTATTATCAAGGATTTTGCCAGAATACTTATCAAAGCCAAGGAAATAATTTGCGACCAGAAAAAAAAAATATTCATATAAATTTAGAATATGTTTCCGCTAATCCGACTGGTTATTTACATTTGGCACATTTTCGTCATGGCTTTACTGGTAATGCCTTAGCCAATGTTTATCAATTCCTCGGCTATCAAGTAACTCGGGAATATTATATTAATGACCGCGGAGGGCAAATTACTTCTCTAATTAACTCTATCTACCATTTTTATCACCACTTACAAGGTGTTCCGCTTTCCGAAATAGTAAAAGTGGAATATGCGGGCAAATCTAGTCAAGAAATAGCCCAAAAATTAGTAGAAAAGTGAGGCATTAAATACGTTAATAAGCAACTAGACAAAGCAGAAGTTAACCTGTGAAGAAAAGAAATTTTAAATTTGATTTTAGCGAAAATAAAGCATGATTTAGAAAAATGTGGGATTAAGTTTGATATTTGATTTTCCGAAACCAGTTTATACGAAAAAAATAAGCACCGGGAACTGCTGAAAGAATTAAAAGAAAAAGATTTAATTTATACCCAAGAAAAAGCCATTTTTTTTCGCAGCAGTTTAGGTAGTGATGACAAAGACCGGGTAATTATTAAGCAAGATGGCGATTATACTTACTTTTTTTCCGATATTCTTTACCACCAAGATAAAGCCAAGAGGGCGAACAAATTAATTTATATTTGAGGTGCGGACCATCATGGTTCTATTGCCCGACTGAAAAGTGCCTGGCAATTGTTAGGGTATAAGACGGAAAACTTACAAATAATTTTGGTGCAAATAGTTAACTTACTGACGAAAGAAGGAGAAAAAGAAAGATTTTCCAAACGAGCCGGAAATACTATTGAATTAGCCGAAGCGTTAGAATATATGGATATGAACCAATTAAAATTTTTCCTGTTAGAAAAAGAACCCAATCAACCCCTAACTATTAACACGGAAATACTAAAAGAAAAACAAGAAAAAACTGGTCTTTATTATATCCAATACGCTCATGCTCGCTGCCAGCAATTAGGAAAAAAGTCCCAAGTAAAAGGATTAGATAAAATTAGTTTACAAATTAATTTATTAGGCGAAAAGGAACGAAAAATATTTAATTTATTAATTCGTTTCCACTTCGTTTTAGAAAATATTATTACTGAAAACAAGCCCCATTATTTAGTTCATTATCTCTATGAATTAGCACAAGTTTGACAGATTTATTATCAAAACAACACTATCTTAGAGGAGGACAAGCCCGAACTAACTTCCCAAAAATTACTTTTAGTGAAAAATATTCAAATAATTTTACGATTAGGTTTAAACTTGTTGGGAATCGAAGCCCCTGAAAGCATGTAAAATATAGTTTTCTTTTTACCCCTCCTGCCTATACATAAACATACAAGTAATAAATTTTCTTGACATAGGAAAAATAAAACTATATAAAATGTTAATTATAATATAAAACTATATGAGAAATTATGATAAAAGACTGAAAAAATATCCATTTGGATTTTACCGAGGAATTAGTCCGAAAGTGACAAAATGATAATGGTAAAAATATTTGCCTAAGAAATGAGATAGAAGAAGTTGATAACAAGTTAGGTGAAACTTGGGAAACAGAAGAATTAGAAAGTAGAATTGAAGTTCCGCCAAAGCAAGAGGATTGTCGAATTATGTAAATATGACACCGAGTTCTGGGTTTGATTGACAAGTATTCTGAATATTATTTCTCCTTTTCGTATTTTTATTTTTTTTATTATTTTTGCTGATTTATTTTTTATGGAATAAGAAACTAAGAAAAAAATTTATTTTAATAAATATCGTTCTTTTGTTAGTTTGTTTTGTTCTTATCTTTATTTTGTTTCAACTTTTTTCCTAATAAATTTTTCTCATTATTTATCTCCTTAGGATTTACTTTAAAAAATAAGGGGAAGTTGTTAAGTTCCTCTAATAGTTTAAGTTAAAACTTAATTATTAGACTTCTTTTTTCCCGGAAAATTTCCCTTGCTTTTTCTTGTATTTTTTGCCTAAACTTCGCTGTCAACTATAAATGACTAACCGAAAAATTCCCCACATATTTTCTCTGTTTGCTCTCCCTTTTACTTCTACCCCGCTTTTTACTGAATAACTTAACCAACAATCAGCACGGGAATTTCAGCAATCAGAAAAAACTAAGCAACATATTCATATTTATTTTTTTGTCCCGTTCAATTTGTAATATAAAATAAAGTAAAATTAACTATTATGATAACTCTCACTTTGAATTTACCGAAAAAAGTAGAACAAGAACTAGAAAAAGACCTCCAACACTTAGAAGCCATTACTAAAAAACCGCGGGAATTCCTCATTAAAGAGGCGTTAATTAGATACATCGAGGACATGGAGGATATTCGCGATGTTGAAAAATATATCAAAGATAAAAAAAAGACCAAGTTAAGTATTATACTAGTAAGGAAGTAAAAAAAGAACTTAAAAAATAGTGTATAAAGTAGTCTGGGAAAATAAGGCTTTAAAACAGTTAACTCAAATTGGCCGAGCAATAGCGGAAAAGATTTTTAATAAAATACTTAATCGTGGTGAGCCTCTGACTCGTGAATACCAAGGTCTATATCGTTATCGGTTTAGTGATTACCGGGTTATTTACGAAGTCAAAGAAAAGGAACTCTTAATTTTGGTAGTAAAAGTGGCTCATCGGAGAGAAGTTTATTAATGTGCTTTTCAGTGAAGTTAAAGGTTATCGCCCAGTTTTAGTTATTTCGGCTAAATGGTATAATGAGGAAAGTGAGCGGATTACTGTTTTACCTTTAACCCGAGCCTTTAATAAGGAAGGACATCCGAAATATGTTTATGCTGGTGAAGAACCAAGAGATACTTCTTTTTTTGATTTATCTACTCTTATAAAAAAACTCTAGCATTGTAATAGTTTATTAATATTTTAAAAAAATACTAATTATCTTGCTTATATTTTTTATAGTTATTTTGTCATTGATTTCACTTCTTTTGGTCGAATTTAGTTTTTTGACCTTTTTCTAGTTGCTCGGTAAGTTTTTGAATCTGCTGTAAATCTTCCTTAATTTCTCGAACTAATTGCGGTTGATAACCAACTTTTTCCAATTTTCTTAAATTAGCATGGTATTTATTTATCAGTAATTTAATTTGCTTTGGGCTGCTGTTTATTTTTGGTTGAGAAATTAATTGTGAATTTGGTTTGTTGGCAGGTCAATTATTAATTCGCTGGCTCAGAGCAACAATTCCCACCGCGGCTCCTAATAACGGTGAAATTGGGAGAGTTAACTGTTGCCATTTATCCTCGATTTGGTAAGAAAAATCATTTAAGTCAGCCGTGTGGAAATCTCTTCTTTTTTTGTCGGCAATATGGGCGGCTACTTCTTGTTGATAAGTAGTTAATTCGGTCAATTCTTTTTTTAAGGTTTCAGTAGGAAATTTTTGGAACGGACTATCTAAATCGGTAATTTTTAATTCTTGCCCCAGTAAACTATGGAGATTATTAATTACGGCGGTTTGGCTTTGGGTCAGAATATTTTGTTTGCTCTCTTGTCAGAATTGTTTAATATTTTCTTCATTAGTAGCGTTTTCAATAATTAACTTTCAACTAACTTTTTTATCTTTTTGGGGATAAATTTCTAATTTAATAACCCGAGCAATACTTAAATCTTTGACAATGCTACCAATCGCAACTTGTTTGGTTTGCTGTAAAATATCACTTTGAATGGCCTTTTTATAAGTGGGAATTTTTTCCAGCGGAGTATTATTAATAACTTCTTTTCAGTCTTGACCGTGAATTTTTTGGGGTTCGATGGTCTCCTTAATTTGCTGAGCGATACTTAAATGGTTAATTTGGATTTCTTGAATAGTTTTGGTTTGGATAACTTTTTCCAGGCTGGTTCCTAAATCTTTTTGGTAGTGATAATAAACTTGCTGCTTGTTCGGGTCTTTTTCCGCAAATAATTCGGTTATTTGGCTTTCGGCGGCTTGTAATTCAGTTATTTTTTGGCTGGCAATGGCTTGTTGGGCTTGGGCTAATACTGCTTGAATAATTGGCGGGACAATATTTTCTTCCGAAGCTAAATTGGCTTTATTCCGACTGTTATAATTTTGGGAATTATTTCCCCCCTTGGGTAATGAGTTATCAGAAGAATTAAATTCTTCGCCGCGGCTGTAATCAGTAGGAGAAGTAGGTTGTTTTTCTTCGGGTGCTGGCGTGGGCTTGACTTCGGTTGCTTTGACTTCCTTAATCAGTTTAATAAACTCTTCTTTCTTGGCTTCAATCGCACTTTTTTCGGAAAGAAGTTGAATGGTCGCTTCTCAATTCTCGCCCAAAATTTCGTTAATTGTTTTATTATTAATTAAGCTAGTTAGGGTGCTGCCACTGTGGCTAATTCAATGATTTTTAACAGTTTGAGCGGCTTGTTTTTGTCTTTCTTCAACTTTGGCTTGTTGAATGCTTTCAAGGTAATTATCCCGCAGTTGGTTAATTTCCGTTTCAGTAGTTTGGGTTTTAATTTGCTCTTCTCAATCAGCAGGGATTATTTGGTTGGGTGATTTATTATTGATTTGGTTAGCCGAATTTTTGTGTTTATCTCATTCGGCTTTAACTTTGGTAATAGCGTCATTTTGCCACTTGGCTCGCTCTTTTTGGTTGGCTTGGGCTTTTTCCTTAACAGTTTTTCGCTTGGCAGCGGCGGCGGCTTTCTTTTCCTCTTGCTTTTTTTTCTTTTCGGCAATTAATTTTTCTCGTCGGGCTGACTGCTCGGCAGTTTTTCGCTCTTGGACAAATCTATCAATTAAACCTTTCAATTCTTTTTCTTCTTGGATAATATCCCGGCCTGATTTATCGGTTAATAAAATAGTTCAATTGGCTCCCAAAATGGTCCTAAGACCACTTTCATTTATTCCGGCTCACTCGCCATAATCATTAATTCTTTGAACGGTATTGAAAAAGAATAATTTATCATAGTAGGCTTTTTTGATTTCTTGCTTTTGTCGGGCGAAAAACTTGTCGAAAATACTTAATTTTTGAGTTGTTTTTTGTTCTCTAATTTTGGTTGCTAAGTCAAATAATTCTTTTAAGTCCTTAATTTTCTTAATTTCGACTAACCATTTTTCTTTTTCTTTTTCTTTTTCTTTTTCTTTTTCTTTTTCGAGTTTCGTTCGGGTTTGCCGATAAATTCGGTCAATTAGTTTTTTATTTCCTTCGTAAAAATAAATGTCATTTTCTTGGATATCGGAGTAAATTCTGTCTAATTCTTTGATGCTCTTCGTTTCTTGGAGTTCCGCGACGAATCTTTTTAAAAGTTTAGCCCCGAATTCGATTTTTTCCAGTTCGGTTTTACTAATAATTGGGGTATCGGGGTTAGTTTGTTCTTGGTTTTCTTCCTCGTCTTCTTGGTCTTCGTCGCTTAGGGAAATATTATCTTCATGGGAACTATTAATTAAACTGGTTTCATCGCTACTTATACTACTTAATGTTTCTTTGTCGTCTTCTTCTTCGGCTGTTGTGGTATTTCCGACTGAAGAAAGGGTCGATTGGCTGGTTGAAAAAATCTCCGAGTCGGCGTTAGTAGTGGCGGAAATTACTGAACTAGTTTTTTTACTTGAATTAATTTCTCGGTTAAGAAAACGAGAAATAGGGGTTTTACTAGGAGTGTTTAATATTTTGCTAGTTTCCTCTGGTGTTTTGTTATCGTTGCTACCACTGGAAATATTATTATTATTTAAATCGGCAATTGGCGAAGTTTCGGGCGGGTCGTTATTAATTGGTGCCAATGACGGGAGGGTCGAAGCTGGGTTCACGGTATTGGGATTTTCGTGGGGGGAGGTCGGTCGCTGGTCTCTCTCTCTCTCTCTCTCTCTCTATGTCATTATTATTGTTGCTGATTGACGATTGGCTTGGCGAACTAGAACTTGGCGAATTATTGGTTTTCTTAGTTTCCTTTTCCCGCGGGTCAACGGCGGGGCTTTTCCCTTTCACTTTCTCCTTGGCGGCTGCCAAAATTTCCTTCTCTTTATTTATTTCGGCAACAATTTCGTAGGCTAAGGAGTTAAATTCTACTTGGTAAGCGTTGACTAAATATTCATCATACTTATCGGTTGGGAAGTTATCCGGAATTGTTAATTCTTGTAAATTTACTAACCATACTTCTAAACCTGATATTTTGTTAGCACCAGTTAACTCACTTTTTTCTAGAAATTTTTTGTATTCACTTTCAAACCCCTTAAAACTAGCAAAAAGTTCTCTTCTATCTAGCCGGTCAAAAGCCTCTTTGTAGTTACGAATCTTTCCAATTCCTTCTCACAAATCTCACCTTTCCTGGGGGTATTCTTTGTCGTCGAGTTGGTTGTATTTTTTTGAAAAAATTCCTGCTAAATTACTCAACTTTCGCCGGTCTTGGCAGGCGGCGGGAATTTGACTTTTTAAATCGGCAATTTCTTTCCTTAATTCTTCCTTTAATTCTTTCCTCACACTTGCCATTTTTTCCTCTTCTTCCAGTATTTCAATTCACACAATTATTTCGGCTTGCTGTTCCGTAATTTTGTCAACTTGGTCGCGGTCATTCCGGACATTGGCTCGATATTGGTCGGAACTGGTTAGTCATTCATTCAGAACAATTAACCCTTCTTTCATTTTAATTAAATTTCCAGTTGCCAAATCACTTTTAATTTTTTTCAAGTCCTCATCAAGTTCTTTAAAGGCTGAGTTATAGAGAATTATTTCCTTCGAGACTTCATTTCACTTTCTTTCTAAGTTTGGGGTTCATGTTCCTTGTAATTCAAAAAACTTACTACCTAATTTAATTCGTAATTCTCCTAATTTTTCCCAGTTTTGGCGGGCAGCGGGAAATTGCTGAATTAATTCGTTAATTTCTCTTTCTCTTTCTCTTTCTCTTTCAATTTCCTTCAACTTAACTTTTAAATTAGTGAAATTACTTTGTGCTAAAATTGTTTCTTCGACTTCGTTTAATTGACCCAATTTTTCTTTTCTTTTTAATAACTCTTTTTTGCGGTTTAATTCCTCAATAATTTTTGTTATCGTCCTATGGTTGACCTTGTCAAAAGTCAGTCGATACTCAAAACCGTCGATTTCACTCGAAAATTTGACGCCTAATTTATTTAAGTCATAATTAACACTACGAATATTTTCAATAGCACGAAGTATTTCGCTTAAATTTTGAAAACTTTCTATTCAATTGGCTAATTTTCTTGGGAATTGCTCGGGTCGAAGGTCGTAATAATTAAGTTGACCGAGTTCTTGTTTCAGGTTATAAGTTAAGTATATGTCATTAAGTTCTAGGTCTCTATTTGAATATTTTTCAAGTATTTTTTGAATATTTCCGATTTTTTCGTTTTGTAGTTCGGTGATTATTTTTTTTAAACTTTCCTCATTTTCTTCCAATTCCTCCCAACTGGAATTATTGATAAGGTCGCGGTAATTCGGGTAATATATCGTTAATTCCTGGCTGGTAATTTTTAAGTTAATCGGAGTGCGGTTAATGGTTAAAGAAAGAGTTTGATTAGCCGCTTGCTCTATCTCGGTTAAAGTTGCTTGTTGGATTAAATTTTTCACTTTTTCTAATTCGGCTTCTAATTCTAATTTTTGGTAAATATTCGGGTAAGTGGTGTGATATGGGCTAATTTCTGCGAATATTTGTCTTAATCTGGCTAAACTGGGATTGGTTTGCTTTGCCAATTCGGTTATTTCTTCTTGCCGACTTTGGATTATTTGCTGAATCCTTAATTCTTCTTCCTTCTCTTCCCAGGCACTACTATTATACAAGTTAATTAATTCCGGCAGGGAATTAGTGGCTTCCAGTGTTGTTTTTGATTTTTTTTCTTTTTCCAACAATAAAGGAAACTTTTCCGCGATTATATCTTTAAATGTTTGGTAGATAATAACTTCAATTTCTCTTTGACGAATAGGAAGCATGCTGATTTCTTGCTCGTTATTAAGTCCCTGGCATAAATCGGATATCGCAGCGACAATTCTTTTGCTGACATTATCAATCGGGTTGCTTTCCTTATTCTTAATGAGTGTTAAATTGGTGTCGATTTCTTGGTTAATTTCGTCTATTGCTCGGCGAAGCTTGGCTTTTTTGTGGTCTAAATTTGTTTTCAATCGATTTTTTTCTATTTCAATGTCGCTTACTCTGTCATTTTCAGAGGAATTATAAGCGATAGTTCGGTTGCTTGCTCTGATTTCCCTCAATATTAATTCTAAATCTTTAATAGCCTGCTCGATTACTGGTAATTCGTGGGTGTCGCTGTGAATTTTTTTCTCTATTATTTGGTCGGCCTGACTAAAAACGGCTTTTTTGTATAATTCTTTTTTTCACTTATTAAATAGGTTTATGGCTTGGTTAGAATAACTTTTATTAGTTAATTCTCGCCGGACTTTGCTTTCTATTTCTTGTAAGTAGTTTTCTTCCTGGTAATTTAATGCCCGACCTTCTTTTTTCAGGTTATAAATAATTTCGGCACTAATAAACTCGGCGGAACTATTATCAATTGTTAAAGTTTCTGCTTCATTATCGTTACGAATTTTTGCTAGGAGTAATTGCAGAGTAGAATTAATTTGTTCTTTATTTTGAGCCGCTGAAATATCTTTTTTATAACTAGCAATTTCTTTACTATTGACTTGAGCCTTAAATTGCGGATTTTGTTGCTGGTAAAAATTGAGAAGAATATCAATGATTTGGTAAGTTTTTGTTATTTCTTCGGCTACGGGGGAAAGGTTGACTGCTTTTTTGGGAATTAGTTTGTCGGTGAAATTTGTTAAATTAGTAAATATTGTTTGTAGACTGTTTTTTTTATTTTTTGCTGTGCTTTTTGGGTTTTTGTCTTTCATGATAGTTTTAATATTTATTCATGTTTTTGATTTTTATCCTACCAATATTACCCAGCGGGGAACACAATAACAATCTAATTCATAGGCTTATTTAACAAGCACCAGTAATTTGGAAAGGGTTGTTTTTTTGACCGTTTCGGTTATACAATATTCGTCTTTACTCATATTTTCTATTTTACATTTCTTTTTCCGAATCTTTGTGCTATAAAATATTAAAAATTTTTGACTTCAAAACTAATGACTATATTTTTTAAAATATATAAATAATTAAAAAAGTAGTAAAATATAATAATTATGACCGAACTATTAATAATTAAAACTGCTAATGCTGATAAGTTAAAAATTTTTCTTGCCAAAAATCATATCGAACACCAAATTATTTATACTGAATCTTTAACTGAAAAAAAGCCAACTAAAAAAGATAAATTACGAGAATATATTGAAATGAAAAGTAAGGAGGATATTTTTGCCGATTATGGCACAGCAATAAAAGATAAAAAACGAGAAAAAGAAATCGCCTTATGAGACGAAACTGATGAAGAGGACGAGTTAAAGCCTTGACTAAATATCAAAGAAGTAGAAATAGAATTTGAGGAGAAAGAAGCCAATTTTAAGACTTATCGGAAGGTAGTTAGTTTTTATACTAATAAGGAAGGGGATATTTTGATTTAGTGTAAAACTAAATATAATACAAAGTTATGAATAAAAGCACTAAAAATAACCGACCAAAGCCTTTTAAAAAAATTCTGGCTGAAATAGAAAGTCCCCAAGATTGGGGCAATGGTTCCTGAGATTTACCGGAAAATCCGACTCCTTCCCAATTAGTTAAATATGAACTCTGTGAGAAAATATTAGGTTATCAGGAGGACAATAACTTAACTGATAAGGAAATAGCTGAGAAAATTGAGTTAAGTTTAAACGAAACGGAAGATATTTTGTTTTGTCGCATTGCCAAAGTTGGTTTTGACAATCTAATAAATGCGGTTAGTAAATTATTTTCGCCCGCGGAAATAAAAGTAATTGTCGAACAAAAAAAGGATGGTTCGCATGTCTGAGTGGTTTAAATTAACCAAGGAAAGGTTTTCAGAAAAAGATAACGAATTACAGCGGACTTATTCCTGCTTATTTACTTTTTCCTTTAAAAAATGGACTATTACGGAAATAACTATTACTAACCATTATGAAATAGAACATAAGGGTGTGATAACTAACCAACTAATACTTGGCATTTTGAAAGAGAAAATTCACGGAAGAAGGAGAATGAAACCCCGCCAAAAACATGGTATCAGAGATATTTACGTGCGAGAAAGAATTTCCTATCAAAACCAAAAATACCGCTTAATTTTCTGATTTAAAGACTACACCACTAACCATTTATGAGTTAGGAATTGTCATCCCCAAGATTAGAAGGTTATTTTTCTTACCAAATTTTTTCCGAGTCAGACCAGGGAGAGTTTTCCCCCGAGGATAAATTGCTCCAAGAATGCCAGGAAGCCTGACAAGACCCGCAAAGATTAGCCGAAGCAAAACAGTGAGAACAAGCTTCCATGACCGATTGAGCGGAAAGAGCCGAAAAAGGTAAAAAATAAATTCGCTGAGGAAAATGGGAAAGGTAAAATCGGTTTTTATTATGAAGAACCAAAAGAAAAAAAAGCACCGAATAATAATAAAATGCTTAAAAAGAAGTTGACATTAAATAATCCGAGGAAGGCGTTAGATTGTTGACTTTTTCACTAAAATGAATATTAACTTCTACTTATTAAAAATGAATAACCATAAATTTATTTATCTGACAATTTTTCCGCAATATTTTCATAATTATTTCCAAATCTCTCTGGCACAAAAAGTTGTTAAAAGAAACTTGCTTAGTTATCAGGTTTATAATTTACGGGATTTTGCTGTCAAAGGACAAGTGGACGATTATCCGTATGGAGGCGGTCCGGGTATGCTGTTAAAAATTGAGCCACTGGTGCGGGCGTTGACTAGTATTCAAGAAGTTCACGCTAATAGTTATCTAATTTTGATTTCGCCCCAAGGCAAAACTTTCACCCAAAAAGACGTGCCGAGACTACTTAACCAAGCCCCTAATTTAGTTTTTATTTGCGGACATTATGAGGGATTTGATGAGCGGATTTGACATTATATCGACGAGCAAATATCAATTGGTGATTTTATTACCATGGGCGGCGAGATTCCTGCCCTAGCAATTACCGACGCTCTAATCCGTGCCATTCCGAACGCTATTCAAGCCGAGTCCTACCAGCAAGAAACTTTTCATGATTCCCAGTTGGATTTCGCCACTTATACTCGTCCCGAAGTATTTGAAGGCTTAAAAGTTCCCGAAGTTTTATTGTCCGGTCATCATGAAAAAATTAGGAAATGGCGGGTCGAAAGCCGTCAACAAAAAACCCACCAGCGCGAAAAAAAATACAAAAATAGTAAGAAAATTACCCCGCGACCCAGTAAGTAAGATTAAGTATTAAAATTAAAAGGTAAGAAGAAAAAGAAAGCGGATAAAATGCCGAAAGAAAGAGGTAGTTTTCGTTTGGAAGTAGTCTTCATGGAAGAAGAGTTAATTAGCATGAAAGAGTATTTTGAATGTTTAATTAATGCTGATTATCGTATTTATTAGGAAAAATTAACCAAAGATGTAGAGATGTTTTTATGAACTTTGCCAGAAGTGAAAGGGTTAGAAAAAATTCAAGGGTTTAAGAATTTGAAAAATCAGTAAAATTAAATTAAAAGAAATTAACTTGAGTAGTGTAATATAAGAAAATAAAAATTTTTCTCACTAAAATAATTATAAAACTATATATATGATTTTATTGTAACCCTATTTTGTTATCTGTTTTAACTATATTTTACAGTTTTTCTTCTTTTAATATTTCTTCCAAGACATCAGCAGGGACTTCTTGATAACAGGATAAATGCATAGAATAAGTGCCACGGCCCTTGGTTAATTGACGTAAGTCGGTGGAGTATTTAAGCATTTCTTTTAAAGGGGTTTTACCTTTTATATAACTGTCGCCCTCTTTTTCTTCGGTCTCTTCAATGATAGTGCGACGTGCTGCCAAATCAGCCAAAATATCTCCCATGTAATCTTTGGGAACCACCACTTCTAACTGCATAATTGGTTCTAATAAAACTACTCCTAATTCGCGAATTCTTTTTTCTTTTTCTTCCACTTTATCACCCCGAAAAGCTAAAACGGCGGCATTTTTGAAATCACCAGGTTTGGTATCGACCGTGTGTCTTTTTCCTTCCAACAAAGTGGCTTTGACGTCGAGCAAGGGATAGTTCAAGAGTAAACCGGATGACATGGCTTCTTCTAATCCCTCCTTTACTTCTTCAGCGTCTTTACTAGACATTTCTTGACCTTTTTTGGCATCCACAAATTCAAAGCCCTTGCTGGGATTTGGTTCAAAAGTAAGTTTGACACGAGCAAAATGTCCGCTTCCGCCCGTTTGTTTTTTATACTCTCCTTCCGCACTTTCTAACTTTTTAGTAATAGTTTCCCGGTAAGATACTTTGCGTTGTTTGCTTTCGATTCCTAATTTATATTCTCTCCTTAGTCTTTCCATGGAAACTTCCAAGTGTAATTCGCCCATACCAGCAATAATCATTTGGCCAGTTTCCCTATCTATCCAATACTTAAAACTAGGGTCTTGGACTTTTAGTTTTCCTAAGGCATCCCGTAATTTATCCTTGTCTTCCTTAGTCTTGGGCTCAATGGCTTGAGAAATCACCGGTTCGGCAAAATCAATGGTTTCGAGGAGCAGCGGTTTTTTTTTATCGCTAAAAGTATCGCCCGTAATAGTATGTTCTAAGCCGATTATGGCGGCAATATCACCCGCTCTCACTTCCGTAATTTTCTCCTTTATGTTAGCATGAATTCGAAATAAACTACTTACCGTTTCTTCTTTTCGTTGATTAACATTATAGATACGGGAGCCTACCGAAATCTTTCCGGCATAAACTCGGACAAAAGTTGTTCTTTGATTATAATCATCAAACACAATTTTAAAAGCTAATGCTAAACAAGGTAAAGGGCTATTACAATTAATCATTCCTTCTTTATTTTTATTCCAGGGGGAAAAAACTGGTATTTCGGCCACATCCAAAGGAGATGGCAGATAATCCACTACTCCATTCAAAACCAGTTTCACACCTACGTACTTATAGGCCGAACCACAAAAAACCGGGAAAAATTTACCAGTGAGAGTGGCTTGGCGGAGTAATTTTTTGATTTCTTCCACTTGTAATTCTTGACCTTCTAAATATTTAGTGGCTAATTTCTCGTCTTGTCCGATTATTTGTTCGATTAATTCTTGACGATAACTTTTAGTTTTTTCTAATAAATTGGGTGGAATTTCTTTTATTTGATATTTTTCTTCCTTATCACCCATTTGGCAGTAATAAGCCTTTTGTTCCACTACGTCAATTACTCCTTCTAATTCTTTGCCAGCACCAATCGGAAATTGAACTGGTAAAGGAACTGTTCTTAATCTTTCCCAAATACTTTTCAAACATTCATCAAATCTCCCAACATTTTCAACCCCATCCATTTTATTAATAAAAATTAAGCGCGGTATTTTATATTTTTTGGCCTGTCGTCAAACCGTCTCAGTTTGGGCTTCAACTCCTTTTTTTCCGTCTAAAACTACTATTCCGCCGTCAAGAACCCGCAAAGACCTTTCCACTTCGGCCGTGAAATCCACGTGGCCCGGAGTATCAATAATATTTATCTGGTGTTCTTGCCAATAAACAGTAGTAGCCGCGGACTGGATAGTAATTCCTCTTTCTCGTTCTTGGTCCATGAAGTCCATCGTCGCTCCCTTGCCTTTCTTGTCGTGAACCTCCCCAATTTTATGAATTTTTCCACTATGGTAAAGTATACGCTCAGTAGTAGTAGTTTTTCCAGCATCAATGTGGGCCATGATACCGATATTACGGATGTTAGATAGCTTTTTATCTTCTTCGGGCATATATTATAAATATTTTAACCCTGAAAATGACAATCGGGTTGAAAAATGGGGACTAAACAACTTATTATTATTTATTAACATGGTAAACGCCCAACAATAATTAAATTTGGGTGTTTTTATATTTTGTTCCCCAGCGGGTAATAACATATTAACCAAGCAAATCAGAATTTAAAAAGAGTCATTATAACTTTTCCGTAAACTCTTCTTTTTTTAAATTGCTTACTGAAACTTTAATCAAAAGTGTTTTTTTATGGTGCTGAATGGCTGGGTAGTAGGGAGTGCAAATAATTAAATTAGGGTTTTTGTTTTGAGCGTCAGTTAGGATATTGGGATTATCGTCTAATAAGATATCATAATCAGGCACATTTTCGTTAATTCACTGACCTTTGGTTTTTTGGTTTTTGCCTCATTTAAATCCAATTAGACTTAAAGAGCAATTAGGTGCTTTGCCAAAAGTTTCCGCAAATATTTTTTTTTTGCGTGGGTCACCGTGGTCGAAAACTTGTTCATCATAAGCCGATAAGAAAATTACTTCGGCTTTTTTTTCTTTTACCAGCATCAATAGTTCCTTGGCTAAACTTAAAAAAGGGGCTCGGTTATAAAAATCAGGGGCGTTTTTCTGGGCAACTTGTGCGGGAAAATTTATAACTAATTGGGAGCCATAAGGAGAATAATTAATTAGTTGGTTATTTTTTTGCCAAAAAGACTCAAAAAGTTGTGAAAATTCCTTGACAGATGCCAATTTTTCTAGCCCGAGGGGAATTAATTTACTTTCTTGCAACGCTAAATAAAGAGCAAAAGGTTCTAGGGATTGAATTACTTCATCTCAATCACAAACAATTTTTAGTTTTTTAGTAGTATTTTTAAAATGACTGTAAAAGCAATTAATTATTTTTCTTGACATACTATTTTGGTAATCTTTAACTAATAAATCTAAAACTTTATTAATATATTTATATTTGTTTTCCGCTAAATAAACTTTACTGAAATTTATTGTTTGGTCAATTATTACTTTTGGATAACTAGAATAAGAACCAAAAAATAATTCATAAGTAGCAAAAATTAATATCGCTTGCTCTAAAGGTGGCAAACGGGAAAACTCCCAAGTAATTTTTAACTTCTGAGCAATGTTTTCCTGTAAGTATTTTTCTTTAACTAGGCAATTATTAAGCCAAATTATTCTCTCGCTATCTTTTGGGCTTTGGTCTTTTGTTTCCTGGTTGTCAAATATTTTTCCTAATAAATAATATTGGTAAAGTAGAAAAATTTTTCTTTTATTGAGACGAAACATTGTTAACAAAAAGACTAAAAATAAGAAAACGAGAAATTATCATTTATAAATCTAATATCTACCTATTTTTACCAAAAAAGAAATAGATAATAGAAGCAAGGCATTAATGCCTTGCCTTGGTTTTCATCGGCTTTCTCATGGTAACTAAAACTATTCCGCCCAGAAATAGTAAAATAATCGGTCCACAAATTCAATAAACAGTGCTGCCACTATTTTCTTTACTATTTGGCTTTTGAGAGTAATGTTGGTTAGTTTCCAGTTGTTTTTCTTTTTTATCGGACGGAACTTGATTGGTTTCTTTGGCATCTTGGTTTAAGGACGTGTTTTCGGAATTTTTTTCATTCTGATTGAGAGAACTTTCCACTAGGAATTTTTCTTGCTCTCGCCTTTTTTGATTTCTTTCTATAATCCTTTTTTTGTCCTCCTCACTTCTCGGCTGATAATAACTTTCTTTAATAAATCCATCTTGACCTTTTCTTTCCACGAAAACAGTTGTCCCATCAATATCACCACTGGCAACATAAATTAAACTTTCTTTTGGAGGAACTTTAACATTTTTACCCTTTTCTATTCAATTAATAAAATCTTCTTTGTTTACTTCGACTAATTTTCCATCTGAGTTTTTAATTTTAAAACTAAACGGCTGACCATCATCACCACCATCAAAGGGTTTTTCTAAATCATTCATGGCTTTTTTTATTGGAGTAAAAACGCCTCTTTTTCCCCCATCCTCTCAATGAAACGAAACAGGAATGCCAGTTCCTTCTTCCATTCATTCTTCATACTCCTTTTTAGTAGGCTCATAGCCGACAGGTCAATCTTTTTTGGGATATATTCTTTCTTCTGGTTTTTTTCTTCTTTTGGCACACTCTTTTAAATATTCTACGTTAAATCCAAATTCTACATTCATAACTATTTTTGTTTTCTACAAATCAAAGAGTAAGTAAACCTTTTGTTACTATTATCCTCTATTTTAAGTTCGTATTCCTTATCGTTTTCGTCCACCATTCGAGACATGTGCCGAGCTAGTTCCATTGTTTCTGAACTTCCCATAGCATTCGCAAGACTAGGCGAAATAACTATATTAGAAGAAGAACCGCGAGTAGTGATTATATTTGTAGATGAAGATGAACTAGGCACTATCGCAGTAGAGGACTCACCCAGTTTTCTTACTACGCCATAACCATAATAGACAATTCCGCTGTAAAAAGTTCCTGCCATCATTCTGCCTTCTGAACTCTCCCGTCCCAAAAACCTCGGTCAGTCAATTTCTATTTTATCACCTATTCGGTAAGTATTAAAGGGATATTCATTAGCACAGTTAAGGTGATAGTAATTTCCATCGTTATAAGTTATCCATTCTGCTAAACCAAATTTAATTTTATAACTAGAACTATTGTCAATGCTTGTAATTGTGTATATTCTTCAATTTGTCATATCTTTTTATATTTTTATTTTATTTTAAAATTATTATTTACTTTGCCATTTTTACACAGACTAGCCACTGTTTTTAAAAGTTCAATTTTCGCCAGTAATTTACCTGACCTACTTGATATTTATTCTCTTTGTGCCGCTGGCACGTTATGGGATGCTCGCAGATATAGAGCAGTTTTTTCATATTTATCATAATTCCTCATATAGTTTTTAATTTATATTTTTATACCTATATAGTTAATTTTATATCCAAACAGATTAATAATTATTTATATTATATGTTTTACATGAGAAACTTTTTTTAAAACAATGTCAATACTTTAATTAGAAAGAGGCAAAACCTCCACAAATGTTCTCCTTTGTCGTCCTTTGTAATATCTTACCAAACCTTCTTGCTCGGCATGAATAGTATAATCCCTCCCTAAATAAACGTTTTGACCAACTTTGTATTTACTACCACGTTGGCGAACAATAATGGCACCTTTTTTAACGTATTCACCGCCAAATTTTTTTACTCCTAACCGTTTCGAAATTGAGTCGTGGTTACAATTAGTAGCCGCCGAACCACCACCTTTTTTTTGGGCGAAAAACTGTAAATCTAATTTAAATATTGTCATATAACTATTTTTTAACTACTTTGTTTTTCAATCGGAGCAATTGCCTCCGGTGCTACTATCCTAGCAAATTCGGACAAAAGATTATCCAAAGAGATTTCAGTTTCTAATTAAGTTAATTTTTTTTCTTCGCTGATTTTTTTTCTTTCTTTCAGAGGGAAGGTTAATTTTTTTTTCTTTTCCGAAAACAATATTTTCCAAACTTCTTCATATTCTTCGACCATGACAATTGTGAGATTTTGGCGAATTTCCGGTGGAATATCTTCAATATCTTTCTCATTAGCCTTAGGAATTATAATGGTTTTTAGTCCGCTCCGATGAGCCGCAATAGATTTTTCTTTTAAACCACCAATTGGGAGAACTCTTCCGGTCAGGGTTATTTCCCCCGTCATACCAATTTCCGAAGAAACTTTTTGCCCCATCAAAGCCGAAAAAATTGCCGTGGCGACGGTAATTCCAGCACTGGGTCCGTCTTTTCCCACTGCTCCTTCCGGAACATGAAGATTAACATTATGACTTTTGAAAACTGCTAATTCTTTTTTAAACTTTTGACTATTTTTTTCATTTTCTTTTTCCAAATAAGACTTGACATAATTAAAAGCCACTTTGACTGATTCTTTCATCACATCCCCCAACTTACCAGTGGCTTCTCCTTCCAATTCACCTTTGCCCGAGACCAGACTGGCTTCGATAAATAGAATATCCCCCCCGGCTTCGGTTCAAGCTAGACCAGTGACTACCCCCGGCTGGGAGATTTTTTGTTTTTGAGTAAAATCATAATCTTTTTTCCCCAAATACTCTTGTAAATTATCGGGAGTAATCACCACTTTTTCTTTCTGATTTTGCCTAAGTTCGACAATAAACTTACGAATAATTAATTGGATTTTTCGATTTAATTCTCGCACCCCTGCTTCCCGAGTGTAATATTTTATTAGGTTCCGAACAGCTTGGTCTTCAAAATTTATTTCCTCAACACTTAAATTGTGTTTTTTTAAATTTTCGGGAATTAAATATTCTTTAGCAATATGAAATTTTTCGATTTCAGTGTAGGAAGAAATCGAAATTGTCTCCATTCTATCAAGCAAAGGTAATGGTAATTCTCTTTCATCATTAGCGGTACAAATAAAGATTACCTCCGAGAGATTATAAGAAACTCCCTCTCCCAAGTAATCATCCTTGAATTCCTTATTTTGATTAGGGTCTAAAACTTGAAGTAAAGCGGAAGCAGGGTCGCCGCGGTAATCGGAAGAAATTTTGTCAATTTCGTCAATCAAAAAACACGGATTAATCACCTGAACTTTTTTCATGGCTTGGATAATTTTTCCCGGTAAAGAACCGATATAAGTACGAATATGTCCTTTGATTTCCGCCACATCCCGTGTTCCGCCTAAGGAAATACTGACAAATTTCCGTCCGGTAGCTTCGGCAATAGAGGCGGCTAATGAAGTTTTTCCGACACCCGGAGGGCCAACTAAACAAATAACTTGGTTTAAAGGCTCTCGAGCTTGTTGTTGGGCCGCTAAATATTCGATAATTTTCTCTTTTACTTTTTTTAAACCGTAATGCTTTTCCTCTAATTTTTGGCGAGCAAACTCTAAATCATTAATTTCTTTGGTTTTTTGTCATCAAGGTATATTTATTAATCAGTCAATATAGGAACGAACCATATTAGCTTCACTCGAATTACTATGCATCATTTCGTAGTGCTCAATTTCTTCCTGGATAACTTTTTTCACTGATGGTGGGTAGGGTTCTTTCCCCAAACGCTCCAAATACTTACGCATTTCATTATTACCATAGCCCCGCGATTTTTTTAATCTTCTTTCAATAGTTTTTTGTTTCTCACGCAGGTAATATTCTTCCTGTTGTTTTTTAATTTCTTCTTTAGTTTCTTCTTCTAATTCTTTTTCAATTTTTTGGCGGTCGGGTAAATTAATTAAAATCTCTAATCGGACTGCTAAATCAGGTGAAGCAAGGATTTTTCATTTAGTTAAATCATCAATTTCCTTACTGTTTTGGGCAATAAAATCGATAATGTTGCTAATGTTCCCTTTAATCATTGTCATATAGGGTAGCTTATCGACTGAGCTTAATCGAGTTTTTTCCAGTATAGTCGGCAAGCAACGAACAAACTTTTCGGTTAAAATTTCTAAGGAATTTTCATCTATTTCTTTTTCCAGGATAATTTCATAATCCCCTTGTCAAATATTATTTTGTTTCTCTAAGTTGATTAACCTGGTTCTAGCCAAACCTCACAACTGAACTTCTCGCAAAGAATTAATTATCAATTCCGGTTCCACTCCGGGTGGAATATTCAAATTAATTTTGGCTAAGGTGCCGATGGAAGAAAATTTCTCGTCAGTTTTTCCGGTTAGTTTTTCCTGGTTAGTAATAACTAAGACTTGACCTTGATAGTCTTTCCAACTTTGTAAAATAATTTTCTTCCAATAGGGGTTTCTTTCTAAGGACAAATTATTATCACATTTGGGAAAAAGAAAGTAATTGTCTAATAATAAAATAGGAACTAATGGCATGGATGATTTTGATATTATGAAATGATTGGCGATTATTTCTGGTGCCCACGAAGAGAATCGAACTCCCGACCTAACGCTTAGAAGGCGTTTGCTCTAATCCACTGAGCTACATGGGCCCATTAATTATTTTTTAGCAAAAGCCTATGGTTTGTTTAACTTTATGAAATTCCACTTGACAAATACTTAGCAAGCATGGTTGCAAAAGCCACATCAATGCCAGTAGTCAGTCATGGCTCTTCGCTTAAATTTTGAATGGATTTTACTAACGAAGAATTTCCAACCAATGAAAAGACCATTTAAAAGGATAATTTTGCCTTTATTCATTTAGTTTTTTAATAATTCTAAAATCTTTTTAGCGTTAGTAGAAGGTAATTTCGTGGTATTATCAACAACTAAGTCATAAGGATACTGAAAATTTTTCTCACTTTGATAAAAAACTTTCGCCATTCCTATAACTCTATCACCTCTTAATTTTTCCCTTTTCTCCAAAGTTTCTAAATCACATTTTACACTAACCATGAAAAATTTATGACCTGAAAAAATAATTCGGTAATTGTCAAGCAATTCCTTATAAAAATTGCATTCGTCAAAAATCACATTTAGACCGTTATCGGCTAGCAATTTAACTACCTTTGGCAGGCAAGAAAATACTTGAATAGCATAAAGGCTAACTTTCATATCAATGCAGACACCAGTTTTGGGGTCAACTACATATCTAAATCCTTCTTTTTCAGTTTTTTCGCTAAAACCGACTAATTTTTTAGGTATGGCACCAAAGAGAGTATCAATTCCGACAAATAAAAATTTTTCATCGCTAAGATGTTGAATTTCTTTTGCCAAAGTAGTTTTACCCGCTGAGGCACAGCCGTTCAAAAAAATTATTTTACTCGTCATTAATTAAAAATAATAGTGAGAGATTTATTAAGTACTGGCAATGAGCTATCTTCCCCGAAGGAGTATTTTCGCCACGAAAGTGCTTGACTTCTGTATTCGGAATGGGAACGGGTATTACCACTTTGTTATAATCACCAGTACTATTTTTATCATCATTAATAATTATTATTTTAGTTTTTTTAGTGAAAAATGTCAAGGACAGAAAATTATCGGATTAGTCCGCCCTTTTCTAAATTTTACTACGAAAATATTTTTTGGTTGTAATTTTTTATCTAATTTGGGAGAGAGGAGGGGATAACCCGCTCCCCTCTTTTTGGTCTAAACTTTATAATCTTTTTCTTTTGTTTCGTAAGCAGTAATAAGTAATGAGACCACCAACCAGTAATAAAGAACTGCCACCGATTAGATAAGGAGCAAGTACGTTGCCTTTTTTATCGTTAGTGTTATCTACTGAAATTGCTGAATCCATGTGGGCTTGCTTTAATAAACTTTGTGATTGCTCCAATTGGCTCTGAATTTCGGTCGGAGAACTATTACCAGGACTTTGAATTAGTTCTTGGTTCTTTTCTTGCACCTTGCTTAATTCGTCGGCTAGTTTTTTGCTATTTTTACCTTACAGTTTTTCCAATCGGGCCAGAACTTCGAGCAACTGTTTTTGCACGGCGGCTAATTGTTGCCGTAATTCATTATTCTCTTTAAGCTGGGCGGTTTTCTCCCCACTCGATTTTGCTTGCAACTTCGGTAATGTCTTTTTTAAGTTCGACTATTTTCGCTTCTTTCGTTCGCTTTCCATCTTTGCCAAATTCGCTTTCTGGTCGGATTAAAAGATGGTTAAATTCACCTACCAATTGATTATGCTTAGTTTTCAAATCCTCTCGAACTTGACTTGGCTCACCGATTAGCGATTGACCTTTGGTTGGTTTTCCAGTGAATTTTCAACTATGTTTTTCTCCGTTGTCAGGTCGGCAATCACCTCATGACTTGCCTCAATTAATATGATAATCACCATTTTTATTTATTCAGTGTTCGTAGTGGTAAGTAATTTCGGTGTTTTTATCATTATCAATATATTTTCCTTCCTCACGGCGGTGATTAAAATTAGCACTATCCCAACTTTCGGCTACTTCATAAACAGTAGTGTAATTACTACCAAAATCTTTTCTTAACCAATCGGAATGAAAATTATAAATTTTTCGTCCGTCATTTTCGTGAATAATTGAATAGTCCGGACCTTCGCGAAATCCTGCTAGTTTGTTTTTTATTTCGTTTTCGTTAAATGTTTGGTTGTTATTGTTATTCATAGTTATTATTTATTTTGTTGTTTTTATTTTTGTTTAAAATTGTTTAAATGTTAGGGAACTTTCTTTGGCTCCCCTAGATTTTTTTTCTTTGAACTTTTTTCATCTTTTCATACGCCTTTTTAGACTTCTTTTTCTTATTTTTTTTCACTAACCGCCAAACTAAAAAAGCAAAAAAGAGTATAAACAATAATAAAAGAAAGAGCAATTGTAAGTGAAAAGGAAGTATTATTCCTCCACCTCCTCTACTACTTTCTGTCATTTACTTACTTTTTTGGTGGCATGTCGTAAGAAGTTCATCCTTATTTTTCTGTAGATTCACTCGAATTGTTGTTTCCCATAATTTTTGAAATATTTTTTTAATTTATTTATTGAATTTTATATTTTTCTATTCACCATTTAACTTCAAAATAGCGTTAGCATCTAGTATTTAAGACAGTTCTAGTATCTGTTTGTGGCAATTTAGTAAGAATGCGAACTTACTTTATTGTTGTGTCATTTTATTTTTGACTTATAGTCTAATTCTCTTTAAATTTTCCGCCAAAATGGCGTTATATTCTCCTCTTTTCAGATTGCGGTAATGGTTATATGATAATGGTGAATATGATTGTTTGTCATGGTTTTTCTGCTCCATATAAGTTTTTAATTAAATTATTATATAGTTTTATTTTTTTACCTATTAATATTTTTAAACATAAATATCAGATAAGTAAGTAAT